TTCCCTATGCACATAAGGTTTTTTTCAGATGAGCCAGAATTTATAGCTCCAAATTGCAAAATGCAGTCCAATTGTTGATTTGCTTTCTTGAATGGGTTTGTCATTTCGAACAACAAATGTTTCCTAAAAACTATTTCAAATTATGTCTTGGTAACTATTTGGCATTTCCTCCATTTTCAGGGAATTTCATTTGCTAAATTCCGTGGCAACCCATTATGGGACAATTTTGGAGGCGAAGTGGCAACCCTTGATGGTTGCATCGGGAGTCCCGTCAATTGCCAGCGTTGGTTTTGCGTTGCGCGTTGCGTTATGGAAAAATGACACATCTGTTCAGTTTCATTCGTCAGAGAAGAAGAATAAGAAAAAGAGGAAATGGAACCCGCAATATGACGGCAACAAATCGCTTGAATTTGAAAGAGGCTGGAGGAGAGGGGACGCAAGGAGGGGACGGAGAGGGGCATCTGTGGAGATGCAATATGCAGCGTAGGAACACGCGCATGCTCTGTGCATTCGCATCACTGACTGTTGATTCTCGGTGTCAGAAATACTCGCAGGGATTTATCGCAAACTTCCTGGGGCGAAAAAGAAGTTGCTTCTCGAAGAAAATACCTCAAAAATTATGATGAGAACATGTAGAACTCTGCCGTGCTAAGCAAGAACGCCGTAAATCCATCGAGATTTTCCCTCGTTTTTTAGAACTTAACACTTCATCTAATAGAACTCTTTTACCCACGCACTTCAAATTCTCTAGTTAAGTTCTTGATAGTATTCGCGAAAGAATTCTGTAAAAACATCGTCCGAAGGTACACACGTTTTTCCGCTATGATACACTGTTTCCAAAAAATTTAAAATGGCGTTTACGGCGTTTTTGCGTTGCACAGGAGTTTCCTTCTCTGATAGCAGGTTTAAATCTCAAGCTATAAGGTTGGCTTGTTTCTCTTCGAAAAAATAAAATAGGAGCGGCAATTTTGAAACATTGCGATGGGAATACGTGGTTTCGCAATTTAGACATCGATATTTTGTGTATTCTAATACAAAGCGACGCTCTGCGGGAGCTCGTTCGAGTAAATACCGCCTGCAAATAGCAATTCCAAGTCAGCGCACGCAACAATCCCGTAGCTAAAATTGCTGCCTGTAAAATTGAAGGCGACTTGATGATAAATCGCCTCGACACTCATACGACCTATCATAATCTTTTGATATTCGTGTTCAATACTTAATCTGGCCGTTGTTTACCACCATTACTCTTGTGCTCTGTTTTAAAGGATCGAGAACTCTTAGTAAACATCTTCGTAAAGATTTTCTTTTTTACTCTTGTGCTCTCTGTTTTAAAGGGTCGAGGACTCTTAGTAAACATTTTCGTTAAGATTTTCTTTTTGTCTCTTTAAACCCCCGAACATTGTGAAAAACATATCACAAAATGTCTAAGAACAGTGTTTCTCACTTTTCTTGTTAAAAATAAAAATGCAAGGAAAATAGACAACGCGAAGTGCAATTAGGCTGATTCTAATTAATGTCGTCCAACTGTTCACTTGACAGTTCATCAACCTTAGAAATTTCCTGAAACCTCTCGACTCTGGTCTGTGAAGAGTTCTACATATTCTTCACTAGCGCTGAATCACTTGAAGCGAAATAAATGAAGTAGAAAGCTGAAGGCAGAGTAACGAACATGACTGTGCAAAGGAAAAACTACGTATGAATATCCCGGCGATGCCAAATTTCCCCTTGAGGAAGCATGCATTTTTTCCAAAGCTCTTGATATTTTTCTTTTAACCTCTCACACGATTTGCAGTCTAATCTGAAGTATCTAAAAATTTCCAAGGAAAATATGTATGACTTTGGCTAAAAATATTGGCTTCTTATTTTATTGGGGGAAATTCTGAAATTTGCGACTGCTATTACGGCGTCCTCTCACAGCAACGAATCCTGCAGCGTTAAGGCGAAAACGTCGAATGAACATTCAGACATTGCCAAATTTTTTTTGATAGGAGAATTAATTTTCTGAACGACTTCCGAATATTTTTTATTCCAAATTTGCATATACAATTTTACTCGTTATTTGGATCGCGTTTAGCAGAAAGGAGCCAAACCGCATCAGGTATTGCAAAATTTAACTGGGCAATTTAATTTTTTACAAGAGAACATTCGTACGTATTCTTTGAAAATTTTAAGGAATTTGCTTCGTACTATGAAGAAAATTCATTGAAATTTGCACATAAAGCCGCGCAGCCGTTTTCATTTAACTAAAAAAATTGTCCAATTAAATTCGGCAATAGCTGTTGTCACTTGGTTCCTTTCTATTTATTCTAAAGTATCTGAAAATATCTATAAAAAATATGCATAACTAAGTACAGTACATATCCAGAAAAAATGTATAACCACAACAAAAATCAGTATTTCACAGAGGTGTCATAGTCAGGGAATACCAGGTAAAATCGGGAAATGTCTGGGAATTTTGAAAAGTCAGGGAAAACCTGGAATTTCAAGGAAAATGGCGAAAATGTCAGAGGAAAATTGTGAAGTCATCTTTATTTCCCTCCTAGAAAGGGTTTGAAGTTTCAAACCACAAATTTTGCCTGAAAACTATTTCAAATCTTGTCTTTTTAAGTATCTGGCATATCCTTAATTGGACCGCGTTTAACAGAAAGGAACCAAGCCATATCAGCTATTGCCAAATTTAATTGGGCAGTTTAATGTTTTACTTGAAAACAGTTTTCGGATTTTCGTGCAAATTTCAGTGGATTTTCTCCATAGTACGAAGCAAATTCATCCAAATTTCCAAAGGAATCCGCACAAATGTTCTCTCGTGAAAAATTAAACTGCCCAGTTAAATTTGGCAATAGCTGATGTGGCTTGGTTCCTTTCTGTTAAACGCGGTCCAATGGACCACTAGACAAGGTACGAATTTAAGCATTCTGATACATGTTTCTTAACCAGAATTTCACGTAGAACACGATTCGCGCAATGAAAATTACTAAAACCAACTCCTAACGAAGGTATTATCGTTTTTATTTCACATTGGTTACGAGGAATTTGAACTGCCCGCTCACAAGAAACTCAAAACTCTACGTGAGTCAAATCGCCCACTACAACGGTTTCAGCAAGCTTCTCAATCGAGCAATGTTCATTTCCCATCATGTCTTGTTCAAACTATTAGCAATTTGCTATAACTGAGCCAAAGCGTCAAGATTGAGGTTGCCAGATTTTTATATCGCAGAGACTGTCATGATAACGTTTAGCGGGCGATGTGAATCGCGTAGAGCAGTGAGTTTTCATGAGCGGGTGGTTTGAATTCACGCATTAAGAATCATTAAATATCTTCGTAAGGAGTTAATTTCGGTAATTTTCGTTGTGTGCATCGTGTTTTACGTAAAATTTTGGTTAAGAAACATGTATCAGAATGCTGAAATTCGTACCTTATCTAGTGGTCCATTGTCATGGAATCTTACCAATACTTATGCGATAGAGGAATCAGGAAAATATCAGGGAATTCCATGTTCTAAATTCCGTGGCAACCCTGATTTTAAAGGTGGAAATATAGCAACGTCCAGTGTCCATACCGTGCGTTTTTCCTTAGCACAGAAGAATTATCTCCCACAACTTCATGTCGAAGAGCGGAGCGAGATACCAACTCGGAACAGCTCGAAACAGTCTGCAGTGACAAAACGAGGATAAAAATCAAAGCCCGGTAGTTCACCCTCGCGGAGTGGGGGTGGGGGGGGATGCTAGGTCGGGAAGGGATTTCGACCCCGCGCCCCCGCGGCCTGAGTCGTCCCCGCTTTGTGCAATGTGCAAGCATCCCTTTGCCCCAGATCTATGAATGTTTAATTAGCGCCCCCGTTGTTTCGTGTCTTATCATCGCTCCCTCCCGCACCAAACCCCCCCCCCCACTTCGCCTTTCCGCCTGCGGCTTGGCGGCCCCGCGATTTCGTCCGCGATATCAAGATTTCTCGCTCGAGTTTTTAATCGTCGGTAGCGGGTGAAATTCGGAGGGAGGGCTGAGGGCTTGGATCTTCTCGCCTAACGGGTTTCTTAAAGAGTTATAAAGCACGCCCTCTAGTCATGATTTTAATATCGTTAAAAGAATCAATCAATGAAAGACAATACATTCTCCTTCTCTATTGCTAATGATTATTATGATTAATTATATGCAGATAAATTTTTCATTTTTTGTGATACTTTATGAGTATTTTCCTTCAAATTGCCAGATACTCTAGATTAAATTACGAATAAAATCCCTGACAAATTGGAAGAAATACACTCACTAGTTTCTTCGTAGTTTCGGCTTTCGTGTAGAAAAATTTGGCAAAGCCTGGAGGTCCATACGACGTTTCTTCTTAGCATGGCAATAATGGAGGGATGTTTCGAAATAATGATTAATCCTGTCTTTTGAACCAATAAACGATAATAGACGCCGTTCGGAGTATCAACAATCCACTCGAGTTTACATCGTCGACAACCGAAGCGTCAAATAGACGCTAGAACTGGATGACCTATGTGCCAATGAGTTATAGTAAAAGAAACTATGTGCATAAGATTCGCGTGTTTCATTACCCCGTTTGACCTCATCCATTTGCACATAGTTCCTTTTAGCTTGTATTGTATACGCTTGAATAAAATAAATTAATCTGCACGGCAAAAGTTCGCCTGAGTCCTGTGTGTTTCTAGAAATCGCCTCAGTCCGTCGTTTCCCTTATAAATGAACGTCACTCCATTCCAAGGTTGCAAAATTGACTCAAACAATTCAACTTTTTACAGGGATGTACCTGCTGTGTAATTTTTGTCCAATTTTTTCCTGATTTTTGCATGAGATCGGAAGAAAAACCAGTGAAATTTTCAGTCAGAAATTCCTAAGATTCTCATAGTAAAAAAGCAAATTGGGAAGGGGAAATCTGGCAACATTGGAATGTAGTTACGCTCTTTAGCGGGGAGAAAGACGAATCGTTTAATTAGTTTCATTCTGGACCTCGTACTCTACTCGACACGTAATTGTGTTTCAGGTTCCGGGAAGTCCTACACAATGATGGGCAGCCAGGACAACAAGGGTATCATTCCAAGGCTTTGCGACGCTTTGTTCGAGCGGATAGCACAGCAGCAAAGCTCAGAGCTTTCCTATAAAGTAGAAGTTAGTTATATGGAAATTTATAATGAAAAAGTAAGTAGCGTCCTATTTTTCACCTTTTTCTCGATCGCATGATGAATATTAAACAAGAATGTGTTCTGGTCGGCGAGCATTTTGTTTAATGCCTTGCGGAAATGCGTGATATACGAGGATAAATTACGTATCCAGGGTGTTTATTGGTCCGGAATATCACCGAGAAAAAAGATTGGTAGAATTTACCATTCCTCCACGCTTTATTTTACACAGCGTGAATTCAAAGTCAATTCTGTCAGAGGAATGGTTACCTGTACCAGAATGTAGTAATGTTTACCTTTCCTCTGGCAGAATTGCCTCTGAATTGATGCTGTGTGAAATACAGCGTGAAATAATCGAGAATTCTAACAATTTTTTTGTCGTTGAAGTCCGGAAATGGTACTGATTGTTTGAAGGCGGTCCGGAAGTACTGAAAAAGCACGGAACTTCCTACAGGGGTTCGGGAATTTGTTGCTCTATGCCACGAGTTTTCTTTTAAACAGCCTGGAAAATATGGATTTCATTTTGCGATAAGAAACCACTATCACTGACTCTCCCATAAAAGCACATATCTGCATAGGGAAACCAATGGCATGTACCTTGTTTCTGTAATGGGCCAGAAATAGTGGTTCCTTTTTGCAAAATGTAATCAATATGCAGTCCATAGCGCAATGATTCACAGTGCAGTATTTTCCAGCTGGATCGTGTACCTTTCCAAAAAATTCAGTACTTTTTCGGTTGATGCTTGATTAGAGCTCCTATTATTTAGTTATTTTTCCCCGCTTGTTTATTTCTAATTCTTCTACAAAATTTGTCCATTTGCTGAATGCAATCCTAGCTGGAGCATACTTAAGCTGCGCGGTCAAAACTGCAATAGCAGCAAAGGAAAACCGACAATATTAATCTTCATTGCTAAGGCGCAATGACACAACTATTCGAACTCTCCGGAATGCGTGAGGTATCACGCCACAATTGAAGGCGTTTTTGAAACTGCCAACTTTCGCATTGGGATTCTCGTTTCGCATAAAATTCGGAGCATGAAATAAATGGAGTGACTGATCTTACGAGCAAATGCTAAATTTAGGCGCACATCTCCTTGCTATAATTTTTTGTTCATAGCTTTCGTTTCAGTTGATAATGAGCGTGTAATTTGCTCGGATGCGTTTCCGGTCAAGTTAAGCCTTTTATTCACATTTTTACTGTACTTTCTTGAGTTTTATCGTTGATCTGTCTTATTATTTAGTTATTTTTCCCCGCTTGTTTATTTCTAAATCTTCTACAAAAGTTGTCCATTTGCTGAATACAATCCTAGCTGGAGCATACTTAAGCTACGGGGTCAAAACTGCAATAGCAGCAAAGGAAAACCGACAAAATTAATCTTCATTGCTAAGGCGCAATGATACAACTATTCGAACTCTCCGGAATGCGTGAGGTATCACGCCACAATGGACCACTAGACAAGGTACGAATTGTAGCATTCTGATATGTGTTCCTGGACTAAAATTTCACATAGAATACGACGCGCACAACGAAAATTACCGAAATTCACTCCTTCCAAAGATATTTAACAATTCTTGATGCGTGAATTCAAACCACCCGCTCATGAAAACTCAATGCTCTACGTGAATCACATCGCGCGCTAAACGTGTATCATGACAATCTCTGCGATATAAAAATCTGGCAACCTCAATCTTGACGCTTTGGCTCAGCTATAGCAAATAGCTTATAGTTTGAACAACACATGATGGGAAATGAACATTGTTCGATAGAGAAGATTGCCGAAACCGTTGTAGTGCGCGATTTGACACGCGTAGAGTTTTGAGTTTCTTGTGAGCGGGCAGTTCAAATTCCTCGTAACCAATGTGAAATAAAAACGATAATACCTTCGTTAGGAGTTGGTTTTAGTAATTTTCATTGCGCGAATCGTGTTCTACGTGAAATTCTGGTTAAGAAACATGTATCAGAATGCTTAAATTCGTACCTTGTCTAGTGGTCCATTGAAGGCGATTTCGAAACAGACAACTTTCCATATTGTGATTGTTGAAGCCAGTTGATCCTCTGGCCATCAATGTACTTCGAATTTCGTGGCTACGTCATTTTTATAGCGATTTGCGCGTGAATTTCAACCATTTTCGAATTTCATCACTTAAAGATTTCAAAAAAGTACTGAATTTTCCTGCTCATGAGGTACTGAATTTTTCGGAATGGTACTGAAAAAGTACTGTAAAAGTACTTAATAATTGCCAGCCAGTTTTAGTAGCCACCTTTTTACGGGACACGAGAATCCCGATATGGAAAGTTGGCAGTTTCGAAAACGCCTTCAATTGTGGCGTGATACCTTACGCATTCCGAAGGGTACGTATAGTTGTATCGTCGCGCCTTAACAATGCGATGGAAGATTAATATTGAAGTAGCCTCCGCGCTGGCCTTGTCGATTTTCCTTTGCGGCTAATGCAGTTTTGACCGCATGGTTTAAGTATACACAAGCTCGGATTGTATTTAGCAAATGGATAATTTTTATAGAAGAACTAAAAGTAAACAAGCAGCGGCGACAAAATATGTAACTGAATAATAGGAATTCAAATCTACAATCAACGGAAAAAGTTTCTAACTTTAAATGCTGTCAACACGCAGCAGGCAAACTGTGTTGAAGGATGGAAAAACTGTTTCTGGTTTCTACTGGCCGAAGTTATTCAAAATGGACAACTTTTTATGCGACAAATCTTAGAAAAAATAATGTTTTTAGGCTAAAGCTTTAAAATCGTGAGGAAATTTTGCACTATCATTTCGTGAGTTATTTTTCCTGCTGACAGAAACCTCAGATCTCTCCACTTTATGATATTATGTAGAAAAGAAATTCTGATGACACGAAATATTCATCGTCCTTTTACTTCTTCACCGTTACCATATAAAATATTTTTCTCTGTTTGGTTAACCAAAGAGACCGAGAAGATCCTTTTTGTTTTTCGCACTTTAAAATGCATTTTTTTGTGCATTTCTCTAGATTTCCTGATCGCTAATCGGTTGGTTTTTTTTCTCTCCGCACCATGTTTACAGGTTCATGACTTGTTAGATCCTAAAACCAATAAACAATCCCTCAAAGTCCGAGAACACAATGTCCTTGGTCCTTATGTTGATGGGCTGTCACAGTTAGCTGTAACCTCATACCAAGTAAGTGCTGCGCATCTGTCCAGAATTTTATCTCTTAAAACTGTTTGGACATCTAACGCTAATTGAGAAGTTTCTCTGACAATGCCTGAGAATGTGCCATTCAAGTCAAACAAAGAGCCGAAATTAAGTCTACCATCCTTGAAAATCGTATGTTTATGTGACAAAATGTTTGAACTGTCCTGAAAATGTTGCCCTTTTTTTAAATTTTTATTTTTTAAAGACTTGAAGATAATTATGAAATTTTCTAAATTTTCCATCAGTTCTCAAGACGATTCTAAGGTTTATAGAAGGATACAATGTAGTATCCATTCAGTGTTTAAGGATCATATTTGAACCGCTGTAAGAAGAAGAGATTTAAGCCACATCAGATATTGCCAAATTTAATTGGGAAATTTAATTTTTTACATGAAAACAGCTCTGCTGATTTTTGTGCAAATCTTAGTGCTGCATAGTACGAAGCAAATTCCTGAAAATTTCGGAAGGAATCTGTACAAACGTTCTCGTGTAAAAAATTAAATTGCTCAGTTAAATTTGGCACTAATGGATGTGGCTTGGTTCTTTCTGCTAAACACAGTCCATTTAAGGAGTGTCTACTTCCTTATTTCCATATTCCTCCAAAAGATGGAAATATACAAAGCTAGTATAAAAAAGAAAAAGAAAGAAAACAAAAAAAGCCTGTATAGTTTTGCTACTAAAAGTTGTTTTCATAGCAGGCAGAAAATTCAGGAGAAAAATGGGAATTTTTGATTTTGAAAAATTCTCTATGAACCTGTTATACCTATCTTGATTTTTTTTTTTATTTCCGAAAAAATAACTACAGAAATATTTTTTCAAAGTTCCTCGTAACTGTGTAAGTCTTAGAAACCTAACGCTTTTGTTTTGTTTTGTTTACAGGATATAGATAATTTAATGGCAGAAGGAAACAAATCAAGAACGGTAGCCGCAACTAACATGAATAGTGAATCGTCGAGGAGTCATGCTGTGTTTTCAGTTGTGTTAACACAGACGTTAACTGATGAGAAGTCAGGGGTCAGTGGTGAAAAAGTTGCGAGGATATCCCTCGTTGATCTTGCTGGCAGTGAAAGAGCCGTCAAAACTGGTGCTGTGGGTGATAGACTGAAAGAAGGGTCCAATATAAACAAGTATGCTTTTATTTCTAGCCACAGCTTCAATGTCTGATTCAAGATGCTTTGTCTAATAAGGTTTTCTCCTCTCTTATTAATATACACTGATTTTAGTCAAGAGGAATAGTAAATAAATAAGTAAGAAAAAACTTATTGCTCAAATGTATCAAGATGAAAGACCTTCAGCAGCCTGATTGTTGAAACTTATGTCAGCAAGACAAGAATCGAAAATCGATTTATTACGCAGTGCAGATAGGGCTATGTCTTGTCTTATCTTGCTGACATAGCCACTTAAATTTTCAACAATCAGGCTGCAGTTCTAGAAATCATGGCATCTAAGTGATGGACTGATGTTTTTTCAGCAAGAACTGGAATGAATAATATTTTACTGGTTGGATCAACCTTATTTGCTTCATTAAAAATAGAGAGATCAAAAATAAAAAGCAACAAGCAAAGTGGAAAGATATCTTCTTTTTTTTCGTAAAATAAATAATTACTGCGCCATCTAATTTTTAATTATTCCTTCAAAAACATAATTTTTGCCGAGGTTAAGTTCTTAATTTTCTAACTCGTGTGTAATTCTCTGTTCCAGGTCATTAACTACTTTAGGACTAGTTATATCAAAATTAGCTGATCAGTCAATAAATAGCAAAAGTGACAAATTCGTTCCATACAGAGATTCAGTTTTAACATGGTTATTAAAGGTAAGTTTTATGCTGGTTTTTTCTCTTAGTTAGAGCTAGTCTTTTGCAAAACTTAGCTTGCATATTTTTTTCAGAAAACAAGCGAATCATACGCTATTTTTAAATCTTTAAAATGTGTTGAAAACTTGTAAAATGATCTACCACTCAGGTATTTACGCAATTTTCACATTTGTCTCCTTCAGAGATATTCAAGAAAGTCTAAAAATGTGGGGGAAAATTTGTTAAATTGTTTTCATTTGCCCTTTAACATGTGTCTGAAGTTTCAAACAGCATATTTTATGTGCTTGGGTGTGGAAGTGACAGTTTTTAACTGTACCGCATATTGTCAAACATCACCAAATTTTACCAAAATTTGTCAGGGAATTTCATATTCTGATTCCTGCGGCAACTCCATATTTTATTATGAGCAAGCAGTAACGGATTCAAGAAAATGAAACTTGAACGAATCATCAACTTTTTTTGTTTTTCACTTTCATCTCATGTCCTCTCTAAATAGTCCTCACGCACAAATCTTAAAATATTTATCTCTTTAAAAGTTTATCTACTCTTACTCAAATTTTCAAAATTTTGTATTTTGATGAACATTTCTTTTCTCATTACATTGCATTCTGCATTTTATTGTTTAGATTAATGTATTCTCCTTTCTTTTATCAAAGTTTTTTCTCTAATTTTCTCCTCCATTGTAGGATAATCTGGGTGGAAACAGTAGGACTGTCATGGTAGCAACAATTTCTCCTGCCGCTGACAATTATGAAGAAACATTATCCACTTTGCGGTACGCAGACAGAGCAAAACGAATTGTGAACCATGCTGTAGTCAACGAAGACCCCAATGCTAGAATAATTCGTGAGCTTAGACAAGAAGTTGAAGCACTGAAAGAAATGTTAATGGTAGCTACTGGTACAACGCAAGTACCAGAATTAGGATCTCATGCTTTTATGGTAAGAATCCATGCTTTTTCATGGGGATTTTTTCTTCTTCGGAGCACTATCCATGTTGCTTTTATTTACCCAAATGTGCAAATGTAAAACCTTTGAGTGTAACATGAATGCACAATGGTATATTTTTAGATGATATAAATAATAGAGAACAGTTGTGTTTTTAAAACAAATCAGAGATTTCAGGGCAAATCTAATTGCTCATAAATGTGACTAGTGAGTTTTTTTGTAATATTGAAATGATTCAGCAAACCTATAAAACAAATTTTAAAAAAAAGGAAAATGTAATGAAAGTCTTGAGAGGATTGTAATTGCTATCTTCTTTACTTCTACCGCAGACGAATAAATTGGTTCAAATTTTTATTTAACGCTCCTCATATTTGCATCAGATAGTGAGTTCAACCTTTTTAAAAACCTGCGATTAAGTAATTTTGTATTACGTGTTTAACTTTTTTGTTCCAGCATCGTGAAGATTTGCATGAAAAGCTTAGTGAAAGTGAAAAACTGATGAAAGAAATGTCGCAGACGTGGGAAGAAAAATTAATCAAAACAGGTGTGTACAGATACGCAGGATTGTTCTAACTTTCGCCACCATAAAATTAAGGAACATTCAGTGAGGATAGGAGAAATTAAAATAGAGTCAAAATTACTTAAATTTCAAGTCTTGTGATATCTTTTATAGCGATTCTTTCATATTGACTTTTGAAGTCCCGCAAAAACAGATTGCAGAATCAAATTTCTCTTCAGGATGAAAAAAAAACTTTCTTTGAAAATTGTTAAATCAATCATCATATTTGTGAACTCATAGAATATTCAGGTATTCATCTCAGGGTGTCTAGCAACTGGTGAAACCTAGATGATCAATGGAAGAAAACTTGATAATAGGAGAGACGTGAATTCCTGTACAAAATATGATTTTTTGCATCACTGTGTGGCGCTTCAAGCCTAATACTGCTGTTCTCTCTCCTGGTCTGTAGTTAGTGAATTTTTCCTCTGGAATTTGAGTCCCTGCAAATCTGTACCGGTACTCAACGCTGAGTTATGTTTATTTTTGCGTTTCTTTTTATTCTGGAAAAAAGGTCACAATGAATCAGGAAAACTTAGGGAGATGGAATATCCAAGGGTCAAGGAAAACGTGGAAAATTAGAAAGAAGGAAAAGAGAATTTTGCTTGACACTCTACACCTGATCTCTGGGCATGACAGAACGTACCTACTTCCAGTGTTTTTGAGTAGTGTATTGTAAGTCATCAGCTTCATTTTTATTTTATCTCTTCTGAAATTTCCATAAACTTATGCATTCCTTTTTTATATTACAGAACGACTGCAGCATGAAAGACAGGAGGCTTTAGAAAATATGGGCATCAGTGTCCAAGCATCGGGCATTTCTGTCGAGAAAAATAAGTACTATTTAGTCAACTTGAATGCTGACCCATCGCTCAATGAATTACTTGTGTACTACCTGAAAGATAAGACTCTCATAGGATCTCATCAATGTGATATTCAACTGTCGGGTATGTTTTATTTGTTCCTCCCGGGTGGTCGGTAATTTTCCTTGTCAAATAAAATCTAGCGTATGTCACAATGTTGCTTTGGCAATAACGATAATTTTAGTCTTAATTACCATGTTACCAAAACTGAAATATGTAATCGTTACCACAAAAGTAACGTCGTAACTTTTACAAGTAGTATAGAATCAGTTTCATTCAGGCCCAAGTATCTCAAGAGCTACAGTCTTTTTTTACCTTGTAAATTATCTCTATTTCAGGGAAAATTTTCTGATACCTTTATGAAGGTGAAACAGATCCTAGAACTTGTTGTTTGGCCTTAGTTTATTAAGATGATTCTTTTGACTTGATAAAAATGAAATAAAATGGTAGCTTTAAACAAGATTGATGTGTATAGTTTTACTGAAAAATTGCAAGTAGTTCCTTTAAAGCTTGCAACTTTCTGTATCCATACCAATTTTTTTTCAACAATAAAGTAAGCCTGCATGACTCTTACACATAATAGGAGACCATCAAAGTTCAACAAATCACTCTCTGACAATAACATTTTTTAGAATTAACTTGATGACTTTGATTTTCTTTTGGTTCCAGGGTTAGGAATTCAGCCTGAACACTGTGAAATAGTCGTCGAAGGTGGTAATCTTTTCTTGGAACCTCGACCGGGAGCCAGATGTTGTGTTAATGGCGTACCTGTCAGTGAAAGAACCCCTCTTCAACACGGAGATCGTATTCTGTGGGGCAATCATCACTTTTTCCGACTCAACTGTCCAAAAGCCTCCTGTGAGTAACTTATCATTTTTTTCTGATATCTTACTTGATGATTTAATGAACATTTAATCCACAATGAAGGAAAAAAACAATTTTTCTTTAAAACTTATGCAACCATTTAAAATGAGGGGTAGTTGGGCATTCCAATAGTTTGAGGTATTGAACAAGTAGCCACCAAAGTGAACTTCATTTTCTCATCATTTATAATCTAATCTTTTAAAAACATTTTGAAAAATGAAATAGTAATGCTCATATACAAGCCAAAAAAACTCCAATAAATGCCCCGGATGTCTTAAAAGTACAAACCTGAATATGTCGCTTGTCTCTTAAAGTTTGATATTTACGTAAGAACTGTTTGAAAGTGAGCTTTAAATAACGGAACGCATTGTAGGAGATCTCTCTACTTCCTCTTATGATGGAGAAACTTTATCAGCATTTTGAGAATTAAGAAATTGTGTTTTTTACAGCAACAGCAGCATCTGAGCCGCAAACACCAGCTCAAACCATAGACTATAACTTCGCCCGCGAGGAACTTATGCTGAATGAACTTAGCAACGACCCAATTCAAACTGCCATAGCTAGGATTGAACGGCAACATGAAGAAGATAAACAAGGTTAGTCTTATCTGTTTTGGTCCAGATCATTAGTTATTTCAGATTTATACTAGTCCCATAATCATCCAACTATTTTATCATTCAGCCAAATTCTCTGCTGAAATACAAAATTTCCGAACATCTAACCAAACATTTCCTACAAAAAAGTATCTGCTGTCGATTTGTCAATTTAAAGAAATGAGTTCTGTCTTTTTATTTAAGTTATTTTGAACCCTGTCATGTTTTTTGGTTACCTGTTCAGAAAGAATCAAGTCGAAAACTTGACCCTCCGAGTTTTAGATTACTCAATATGAAAGATAAAATCATTTCTTTACCATCCACCGATATAATTGAACATTTCAACTTTCTTTTACAAGGTGCTAATCTGGATAATAGCATCAATTACTGTTCAATCCATTGCATGCATCGCAATGTGAATCTAATTTATATCATTGTGGCAACCTAACGCTTTTTTGTTTCCTTTTTGCAGTGGCTTTAGAAAAACAAAGGCAAGAATATGAAAGGCAATTTCAGCATTTACGCAATATCTTATCGCCATCAACTCCTTACTCTCCGTATGTGCCCTTCGATCCATTTAGGTTCAACAAAATGACTCCTTGCACACCCACAACGCAACTAAAAGTAGAAAAATGGGCGAAAGACAGGTTAGTGATTCAAATATGTGAAAACTTGATTTTATTTCAATGCATCCTTACAAAATCCCATGGCAAAATCTGTTTTCCTATAATTTAGCATTTAATTCTGAATTTTTAATCATGATAAGAGTCTATTTTGTTATTGATTAAATTGTTGAATCATTGCATATGGAAGGTAAAAACTTGAAGCACCCAGTGATATCATTGAAGTTTTACACTGATAAAATTTATTTTTTTCACCAATAAGCAAATTTCTCATAAATATTTAATGGAAGAGGTTTGATCATCATATCCTAGCTCTCAATGATAACTCTTTTATTTTTACTCAAGCATTCATATGTTTTCAGGGATGAAAACTTTCGCAGAAGTCTTAGTCAATTAAAGCGTGATATTGTTAAGGCCAATACTTTCGTTCAGGAGGCAAACTTTCTGGCCGAGGAACTAAATAAACAAATAAAGTATAGTGTAACGCTCCAGATCCCACCAGAAAATCTCAGTCCTAACAGGAGGGTAAGCTAACCAATCTGCTTGATTATATAATAGTTTTATTTGAAAGTAAGCATCAAAAGTTATGAGGTTTTAACATTCTAATATCGGTTCGCTTGTTAGGTATCCTTGGGTTCAGCCTTATTTGAGATTTCTTTTCAGCTCCATGTTCCCTCAGAAAAATCAAGGTGGACCAGTTGCATAAAAATATTTCAATCTTCTACTTGTTGAGGTATTAGTTTCAAAATTGTTCAATTTTGTGTTTTTTTGTCTCAACAAATGAAATTTGAAACAAATAAGAACAATTCTTGAATGAATTGAATTGAATTCTTCAATAACTACCTTACTGGGAAAAAATAATTCTGTTTTATTGGCTCAAAGTTTTTTTTTTTTTTAGTCATGTGTGTCTTTTTTTTCCTCAAAAGTTTTGTTTCTTTTATTCTAAATGAAAAAGATAGAAGGTATTCTCATCAGTTTTGAAAAATGATCAACTACACGGAGGTTCAAAAACGTTTGCATTGTACTACTAGGGTTTTTTAATGTTCCTTTTTTGTTTGATTTGTGTAACTTGCGCCTAAAGCATTTTTTATTCACCAAAAATGTAGGGCTGAATTTAGTTTCTTTCATTTTCTGGATTTTTTTCCAGAGTTTAGCGCTTTTCAAAGCAAGCTATTCAGTTACATATACTGTGTGATAATGTTCTATTTTTATGGTAAATATTTTGAGAGCGATCTTAGTTTTTTCAGTTTCCACAATCCTGAAGGTCCAGTGTGCCTTGCTCTCAAGTGGCATTTTTCTGAATAATCCAAGAACTTTTTAATTTTTTCACGTAGACAAAGTCTCAAAGCATATTAGTCTCCAAAGAAACGTCAGAAGAGAATACCTGATTTTTGGATTCCAGTTAGTAGTCTCTAATTTTTGTCTAATTTTGCAGAGAGGAGCATTCGTAAGTGAACCAGCAATTCTAGTGAAACGGAAAGGCCTGCCAAATCAAGTCTGGTCAATGGAAAAATTAGAAAACAAGCTAATCGACATGCGAGAAATGTACGACGAGCAAGAAGAAAAGGCTGTTAATCCTTCTGAAGAGGTAATTGTTATTTCTTCTCGTCTCTAGTAAACCGCTCATCACATAGTTTTTTACTCCCTTTTTTTTAATTTTATCGTGCAATAAAATAAGTTTCTACATACAGTCTACTACAGTCAAAACCTAGTTTGAGTTAGACTTAACTGGTTATCCTTCATTGAAAATCATGGGTTAGAGAGGTCTCCTGGTGACAGACTTTTCAAGCCATTTTAATCAATTTGAAAAATTAATTTCTCAAGTTTGTATCGAGTCAAAGAAAAGCTTGTTTCTTTGGCTGATTAACCGTTTCTTTTTTTTCTAACTTAATCTGACTGTTTTTTTTTCTTTTTTTTTTAAAGCAAATCTAAAGACCCCCAATCCAAGACCTCATATTTCTATTTATAAAATGTTCCTTGCTTCATTTTACAGGAGAGCCAACTAGATCGAGTAGACGATCCATTTTTCGAGACGCAAGAAAATCACAGCTTGATAGGAGTCGCCAATATATTTTTAGAAGCCTTGTTCCATGATGTCAGTTTAGATTATCACACTCCTGTAATTAGTCAGCAGGGTGAGGTGGCTGGAAGACTACAGGTACGTTTACTCTCAATCATTCTCTTAATAGTAGTTCATATCTTCAGGAATGTGGAAAAGAAAATGGATACATTTTCACAGAAGGCAGCAAGTTGCTTCGAATTTGAACCGAGAAAAAGAAGTTTGAAGTTTTATTCTTCCATGACACTTTTTGTTACAGACAAAGTTTTAAGACTTTTTTACATTCAAAATATTTCTTCTTGACTTAAAATTTTGGAGAGAAGAATTTACGACTGGTTGCATTCAATAGTACTCGTGACCTGATATGTTTCTTTCAATATCAGTGCAAAAAGAATAACGATAAGTTGATTCCAACACTTTGACTTTAAGTGACCGAATTGAACACTTGTCTTCTTTTATGGTTGAGACCTCAGGATGGTTAGAAGTGTTGTTTGTACGTTGTGACTTACCCTCTTTTTGTAGGTTACAAAAAGTAAATATCATAGATCCAAAAATGTCCATTTTATAGCATTCTTTAACAAATTTGAAAAAGTCTCAGAGGTCTTGAAAATTCGGAAAATGTCCATGTTTTTACGGGTTTGACCTATTTGTCCCTTTAAGTCTGTAATTTTTATTTTAAAAATCTGTGCCTCCAATCTACAATTTCACCAAGAGATTTTCTTTTAACAGGTTGAGATTAGTAGAATTAGTGGAACGTTTCCGCAAGATCGATTATGTGAGGCAGCCTCTGAAAGTTCAGGCGACAGTGGCCACGATGAAGAGGAACCTCCTAGCACACATATTACTGTCAGAGTAAGTTTCTTCTCTCTTCAGAAAACTTCCTTTAACTTGCGTAACGAATAAAAATGTAAATGATGTTTATCATTTTTTGCTTTTCTGCTACCAAGCTCGAGAGGTCGTGAAAACCAGCCCGAGACTTGGGCAAGTGAACTTGCGCCATCTAGTGAGCAATTATCCAAAAAGCTCTGCATATGCCCTAGCAAGGCAGTTTTACGCAAACTGCCGCGCAAACTGAGCGCTGAACTGCACTGAGGATTGGCCCAACAAGGCGGAAACGCGTCTGCAGTTGCCTTCCTTGAATGGACGTAACTAGTGTTGCACCAAACAGCGTATCTTTTTGAGGGAAAATTGTGCTCATATGAGATTTTTCCCTCTGTATTATGATTTTTAGCTTTATGCTGAATTTCAACACACATTGGCAAAAAAAAGGGGAAAAAAAAAGGGAAAAAAAAAAAAAAAAAAAAAAAAATTCCAACATACAATAACAACATTTGTCACTTTTTCCTATTTAGTAGAGAGCACAAAAAGTTTATTTCTGTTGTCTTACACAAACTCATTTTTTTTCTTGATTTTATTTTCAGGTGCACATTAAACAAGCGTCAGGTCTACCTTTGGCATTGTCGAATTTCGTGTTTTGTCAGTACTCGTTTTGGGGCTACCCAGATGCAACGTCCGTTCCTGCCACAGCGAATCCTGATACAACGAACACTGGAGATGGAAAAAATTCTATCATTTTTCAGTTTGACCATGTTCAGGACTTTGTCATCCCTTTGACTGAAGAGTTCATGGAGCATTGCACAGGTTGGTATAATTCCTTTACAGATGAGTGCAGTCACTCTCTAGTCACTTCCTTTGCAGTATTGTCTGATTCCCTAGTGATTGGTTTGCTTGGATCTACAATGCATCTTAAACAACTTACTTGTGGACTAAAGTATAAACACTACAACTAAATTAAATGAGTGTCTACAAGAAGAAGGGAAAAGAACAGTCAATTATTCCTGAGTTGAAAGAAATACTTTGGCATGATAATTTGCCCCTCACAAGAGAATGTTGACAAAGACGTCACGCCATGCAAGTTATTAAGAACCATCTCAGCACAAGCAATTGCACCGCTCCTGTGACCCTAAGTATGATAGAGATTCTAGATAAGACTGCCTGTGAATGCTAAGAACTTGAGAATCTGATATCATGTTGCTCTTAGTTTTATCTTTATTATCCTTTTATTGCCGCAATAAATTTTTACAGAACGGAAGTTCATTGTGAACCATCCAGATCGAGAATTTTTGCTTACTCAGTACTGCTGTGGAAATTCAGCTTATACCAGTGTGTTTGTTTTCACTGTCGTAATGGGAAAAGAATGAAAACATGCAATATATGTTTTTACATCTGCCTTAAATTTACCTAATTAAACCCTAACTTAACTCCCTAATTGCGAAGAAAAATTCCGAACTTCAAACAGTATTTATATGAAAGTATAAACTTTTTACTTAAAACTAAGAGACTTGGATGTAGGTGAGTTCCAGTCTGGATTTAAAATTGTATATTTGCACAGCGCTACACTTGAATAAATCATATTGATTTTGTGATCTCTTAAAACTTATTTCCGCTTTTTAATTGCAGAGGGAGCTTTATCGATAGAAGTCTGGGGTCATCCTAGTGCAGGGTTCACCAAAACTAAACCTGGCTGGGAAGTAGAGCAACAGCAAATGGCTAAAGCCAGATCTCTTGTTGACAGGTAAACTCATCAGTTTTTGAGTCAAATTTTTTACTTCTTCGAATAACTCTCTCTGATTACCTTCTTTTTAGATCCATTCATTAGTTACTTAATTTGCTCATTGCCAAAAGAGACGTGACCATTTTTTCGTTGACCTCTCTTGGCCAGAATGGTCATAATGACTGAAATTCTGTTGCTGCGCAGAATAGGCGCTGTCTGCAGGTGCTTCAAGAAATTGAAAATAGAGCATTAGTTATGTACATAACTAGTAGTGTCAGGGTGATCAGCAAAACCCATTGTTTAAAGCATTCAAATTTTCTTATTTCTTGTATTTTTTTCTGGCGCAACTGGAACAATTTTTTTACAAAATCCTGACCGACCAATATCGTTTACATACACATCTGCAAATGCTGGTCTTTAGTAGCCAAACATCTTTCAAGCCAGACATGTCGTAAAATTTTGTCACCGACACTTCTCCTAAGCTTCATATTGTCATAATCATGTTTCATTAGTTATTTTTATGGTTTTTTCTCCATCAACATTTTTGCTCGCAAATTCTGCTAAAGGAGAATTTTTTTTGCGTGGAAGAAAAAAGATTAGGAAAGGGCAGCTAACTTGCTTTCACTGAATCTTACGGGGATGGGCAAAAGAAACGCTAGACATGCCATAACTTTTTCAATTCTTGAGTTAACATGTTTTGGTTTGGACTGTCATCCGGGGGAGTATGCCCCTTGACCCTTTAGGAGGAGCTAAGGAGAAGAGCGCCCTCCCAAAATATCAAAATTTTCAATTGGGAATTCTCCACTTGTGACATGCGTATTGAGCATCTCTTTTGCACATTCTGGTGTAATTTATTTGAACAAAAACATTTTACCTAACTTTTTTCCTGACCGCAAATGTTTTTCTTGCAAAGGTGGAATGAGCTGAAGAGGAAAGTAGAATTGTGGGTGGAAGTCCAGGAATTGAACGATGCTGGCGAGTATTCTGCAGTAGAAGTCACGCAACGTCCAGATATTCTGACAGGCGGTACTTACCAATTGCGGCAAGGACAGCAGAGACGTATCCTTGTGACTGTGAAACCAGTTGCTCACTCAGGAACCTTACCTCTCATCGTACATTCCATCGTTAATATTGCTGTTGGAAGTGTCACCGTCAGGTTAGTGTGTCTCAATCATTATTATTATGTGACTTTTTGCATCATACATGACTGTAAATGGGTAATACAATTTGCTTGTTACAGAGGTATCTGCCTGTTTTCATTTTTTTTTTTTATTTTTATTAAGTGCGCCATGCATATGGCACGCATATTGCAATCGCCGAGAACTTATCTGTTCGGTATCTGCAAGCAGATTGTTGAATCCTTACCGAAAATGAATGATCATCTTACCAATGCTTTCTATCGATCATTGTCATTTGATTTATTATTTTTCTCATCCTTGAGTTTTCGATTCGTGCTAAACTGATGTTATTTATTTGCTTCTAATTTGAAAGTGGTTGTATGCCTCTTTCATGTACCTGACTTCGATAATGGTAAATTAACAGAGGCATTTTTAACTGTAAATTTCTTTTTGTAAATTTCATTTTTTAAAAGAATTGCCTTGACTGCAAAAACTTGAATAAAAAAAGGGGTAATAAAGATGGACGCAAACTAGGGCTGTGCGAGTACTCGAATTTCGAGTCGAGTCGAGCCGAGTATCGAGTACTCGACTCGGCTCGAAAGTTAGGTTAGGTTCGAGCGAGTACTCGAACTCGGCTCGAGTGTCAACAACACGAGTTTTTTCGAGTATTTCGAGTTTTTTTGAGCCGGAAATGCCGAAAGAGTCCAACTTCCAAATATTTCAATCATACTTAAACTATTGTTAGTTTTGCCATCATTTTACGATTGAATAACATCAGAGTCTAGTCGGCAAATTTCTACCATCCGCAGCGCCAACACGCTACCGCCCGGCGATTTCCTGCCGCCCGCGGTTTGTAAATACACGGAGTCATATGTGCGCATTTATGCGCGCGACAAGTTTCAACCTGCGGCGACGACCGCCGCTTAGAAAACTGGGAGTGAGCACGTGTTTTGGACCTTTTGCGCTCCAGAAAAACGGTGTCGCGGCGGCAGAAAAAAGGTGCTGCGGCTACAAAAATATGGATCGCGCGATTCCAAAAAACGTCGCGGCGACAACTGCCGCCGGCGACACGGCGACAACTGCCGCCGGCGACACGGCGACACGAATCGCGTGCATAAATGGGCTCTAAAGCCTGCCAAGTTTGGTCCTCTTTTCAAATTAAACCGCGGGAAGTTATTTTAACGCGTTACTGCCGAACATTTTGTAATTTTAGTGTAAATCCTTCCTAGTGTGTCAATAATTATTAATATCATATTATGAGTCTTGTTCGGAATTATTTTTTGTAGAAAATAGATTAAATCACGTTTTAAAGCTCGAAATTACTCGAACTCGACTCGAGCTCGACTCGGCTTGAGGGTCATTTTCAAAGCTCGAAAAAGCTCGAACTCGGCTCGACTTAGTGAAAAAATACTCGAACTCGGCTCGAATCCAAAAAACCAGGCTCGCACAGCCCTAACGCAAACCTCAGAAAAACCATCCAACGTCGTATCTACAGCGTAAATTACAAGTAATACACTCACTTAGGAAAGAGAAGAAAATACTAACATGCAATTTTTTCACTTTTTAGGAGCCGGCTTCAAAAACCATTAGACTCTTATCAGGAGGAAGATTTAGCCATATTGAGAGAAAAGTGGAGCGACGCCCTCATGCGGAGGAAACAGTACTTAGATCAGCATATTCAAAGGCTCATAAATAAAGCAGGTAACTTATTTCTTATTTTGTCATTTCATGAGTTGCTTCTATTTTTTGTCAAAGACTGTTTGAACTTATATCATTTTTAAGACAGTAATGTTTATAGCAATTAATGAATTTTTATTATTTACTGTCCACCAATAAAAAGAAAAATCTCAGTGCCATAAAAAAACAAGTATCAACATTGTTCCTCTGGACGGGAAAAAATCCATTGTTTTGTAAATTATGAGGACTGTTTAGTTATGAGTATTCTAAGTTTAATTATGATTATTATTAATTATAAATATTTTGAGGAAAAAGAGTAAAAATCCTTGGTTCTCGCAGAAGTTGTCCTTTTAAGTCAAGTAAACATCCGAGATTGAGAAAATTTAAGATTTTAAAAAATCTTGTCGTATAATTGGATTAATTGGACCGAGTTTTCAAGAAAGGAACCAACTCACATTTTCAAAAAAAGGAGTTAAGGATGTTTTTGAGTTCCCCCAGTTGTACGTTTTCTCCTGCCAAAATCTCAAAGTCGAAAAAAACAAAATTAGTTTGTGAAGAGAGGGGTCAAAGTTCATTTTCTACATTGAGTGTTATAGAGGAATAAAACTTTAAACCTCTTTTTCTCAGTTCCCACCTAATGTGGGTTGGTTCCTCTCTGATAAACTCGGTCCATTTGAAAGAATTTTTCTGATCGTATCAGATTCAGAATGCATATGTATGAATTATCTGCAGTAATTATGTCTCATGTCTCAATAATATTGGTTGTTATTTTTGCTCATAGATAAAACTGAAGAAGATGTCGAGCGTGAGCAAAGCCTGGTCGATCAATGGGTGAGCCTCACAGAAGAACGAAACGCAGTCTTAGTCCCCGCGCCTGGCTCAGGAATTCCCGGTGCCCCTGCCGATTGGGACTCGCCTCCGGGCATGGAACCGCACATTCCAGTTCTCTTCCTTGATCTCAATCCCGACGACTTGTCAGCAAGTGGCCGGGACTCGGAAGAGATCCCTGTGGCCGGCCTCCACTCGATCTTACCCAAAGAACATGGAAACAAGTTTTACTCATTACCTTTAGTACGCCGCTGCTTAACAGACGTAAGCGCAGTGGGGACATGGGACTCCTCAGTACATGACAACATACATCTAAATAAAATCACGGACAGCAATGAAAGAGTATATCTAATTCTGAAAACAACGGTTCGGCTGTCTCATCCAGCGTCCATGGATCTTGTTCTTCGAAAACGACTGAGTTTGAACATATTCAAGAAGCAAAGTCTGACGGAAAGAATACGGAAACGAATAACGAGATCAGACTGGCTGTTGTCGACCGGAGTGACGTATGAGGTTGTCTCGAATGTTCCTAAGGCTAGTGAAGAACTCGAAGACCGAGAATCGTTAGCTCAGATTGCTGCGTCTGGTGAAACCACTTCTTCTAGTGACGGCGAAAGTTATATAGGTAAAATTTCATTGGCTTTTAGTTGGTTAGGAAATTATAGTTTTGCTGGCAATGCTTCTCAGAACTCTGGGTTAAAATTTTGTTGGTCGCAGGTGCTGAAAAATGTTGTATATTTAACCTTAAAATTAGTGGATTCAGACATCCAGAAATGTTTTGGTATGTTTCTATGAGCCATCCCCAACTGGCACAAGACAGACAGCAAAAAGTCCTTTATCTTGAGAGTTTAACTTTTCAATGTACGTATTGTAATATAAAATTGAAAAGTACATTGGTGGAAAAGTTTCATAGCAATTAACTGTCGCAAGCATTATCTTGTCATCTAGCATGAAAGTGGTTTTTGTCCAAGTTTTTCTCCTTGGGCAAAATAATTTTTCAATTGCAAAGAGTTTTTTTTTAAAGAATTTGAATGTCTTAAGACTTGCATTTAAAATCTTAAGGAATAAAAGCAAATTAACCCAGGACATCCATTTGAGCTTTTAAAAAGCAGTCAATGTATTTATAAGCATTTTCTTGTAATATGATTGCATTGGACTAACACCTGTGAACTGAAGGATTCAAACAAGGAAACCGGTGAAAAAGCCAACATCTGTGAACTGAAGGATTCAAACAAGGAAACCGGTGAAAAAGCCAACATCTGTGAACTGAAGGATTCAAAAAAGGTAACCGGTGAAAAAGTCACGGAAAATTGTTAAGTTTTAAAGTTAAATCCTGTTTTTGCCTTTGTTTTAATTTTAATCTCTCCATTTCCTTCCAGAAAAATACACGCGGGGTGTCAGTGCTGTTGAAAGTATCCTAATGTTAGATCGACTACGTCAAAGTGTCGCAGTCAGAGAATTACTGCAAAGCCAACCTGCTGTCGATACTCCAGTCATGCGTAAGACTGCCAGTGTTCCTAATTTCTCACAGGTAAGTTTTACTCTATCTTTAAATATTATCATGACGAGCATAACACATTTTTCTCCTACTCTCCTGTTTTTCAAGAAATTCGGCTGATATTGCGTTCTTCTAGATGCAAAATCAAAGCTTGTAACTGCTAATTTTTTGTTGTTCTTTGACAGAATGTATTTTCTGTGATCGCATCTCAATTTTCAGCATCATTCTATGAATTTTAGGACTCTTCAGTAGTGTCCAAAGTCATTAATTAAAGTCAAATTGAACATTAAAATTAGGCGCAGGTGGAAATAAAAAATCTCAATGCAATGAATTAAACTCATAACCCAAATGTTGATTCCACAAAATATGGAACCACCTACCTTTGTTTAAGATGTTGCAGATGTTGCCGTACTTTATTTTTTTTCTCAGGAAAACTAGTCAATGATGTAATTTCTTGAAAACTGCCTTAATTTTTCTCCTCTGTTAGCATAATATTCTGTATCAATTTCATGCTGTTAAGTTGGCTTAGTTCTCTTCAAAAAAATAAAATAGGAGCAACAATGTTGAACATCGCAATGAAGGAACATGGTTTTGCTCTTTGGCCATTGAAATGTATAATTTCAAAAATACTAGTATTAGTATCATGAAGATACTTAACATTTTATTAAGTTACTCCCACATCACGACAAAGTGTTAGCATTAATGTTTTATATAACTTCGACTTTTTTCCAGATGATGAGGTTTGACAGTGGTTTGGATGGTCTCGGTTCCTGCAATGGGTTCGTCACGCGCTCCGAAAGTATGGCAGACTTCAACGCTGACATTAGAGATTTCCGGTCCCGCAAAAGTTTACCAGAAACTGATCTCACACAACAAAAACAATTTGGCATTGGTGAGCACAATTTACATCTTTCAGCATGAGACTAACTCAAAATTTCAGCTGTCCTCTCATCTGCTCTGCCCTAAAATTACAGCCTGCTTCATGATATTCAATTTCATCGCAATCGATTTTGTTCCTATTTAAGTTTATTTATCGGCCCTAGGTATCCACATGCTCCCAAAAATTTTATATTTCTAGAAGTTCATGTCTCTAGTTCCACAGTGAGTGTGTTTGAAAATCGGTGATTGAAGCTCTTGAAAAATCTAGTCTTGCAGTCTGTCGCAGTGCCATAAATAAATTAGGCAAATGCTACTAGACGAGGTCTGAACTAAAAAAAAAATTGCAACGTTCTTGCTCTTGAAAATCGTAAATAGAAAACGATTCACGTAATAGGAAGTAACTCCTGAACAAGATATCAACAAGTATTTTTAATACATATTAATTGGTAAAAATGAGATTATTCCAATGCCTTCATTCGTATTTTTGCCATTTGTTTATGTTAACTGTAGACACTCATATCTCGTTTAGAAGTTGGTTTCTAGATTCCTTGTTGGGATTTGTTTTCTTCATAAAGTTTTGAAGAGAAAACATGTAGCAAAGTGCTTTAATTCATATCTTTTTTAGAGACCCATCATGTTTTGTCGGGGCACATCACAATTGGCCAGTATTATGGGATTTGACAGAAACGTTTATAATCAAATTAAAGTGGATGATCTAATATCAACCGCTGATTCAAAAGTGAAAAATTTTTTGGTTTGTGGATGCTTAGTGCGCCGAAACTTCTTCTTAACTGAATTCTTTCCTCCTCATGAAATGGAATTTCAGGCATGTCCTCAAGGCGCAGCTTACGTATGGTTATGATGAAAGGTTTTCTTTTCCTTTTCAACTTTGTCTCTATATTTTACTTGCTCTTCTCTCTTTTTTCTTCTTTTTCTTTTTTTCGGGTTTGGTTTTAATATTTTACATCCACTGAAGTAAGTCTAGAGGAAGAATGCGGCAGAATCTTTGTCAACTTTTAATCAGAGGTGTGCAATTCATCAAATTTAAATTGATCGCGTCTATAATGCTGTACATGTACATTTGAATTTCCATGACGTCGCTAGCATTTAGCCGGAAAAAATTCCAAGCTTCCTAGAGGAAATATCCCAACTAGGAATGTGTGGCATTTTATTATTGATGTTGATGATTTTTATTTACTTTTTTTTATAGGATAGGTTGGCAGTACATCAAATAAAAAATGAGAATACTGATCTGAGAAATGTTTTCATCTATTAATTGCCTGAAATCACTGGATATTATTATTCATTCAGCCATTTTTCTGATTTTGCATTTTTCTAGGGTGTTATTTACCGCTCACTTATTTGCCAACTCTTTCTTGATTCTAGTTTTATTTTTAGTTTCAAACCAAATGTTAGAATAATTATCACTGTTAGTGATGCCTAGAAATTAGTTTATCTGGTCACCAACTTCATCAGGCGATCCAACACTAAAATCATTACTGTCAGCTGCTTGCTTTCTACAGCCGGTGATTTTTAAATGTTTCAGCCGTTTTGGGCATTTTATTCTCTTTTTTTTTGTATTTTCCGAAGGAAGTACACCATATTTTCTCTTTTTCTTTAATTTTGCTTGCCTGCTGCTGATCTGTTCTTCAAAGCTGTTCTAGCTTTTAATCTTAGCAGTTTCAACATTTTTCCTTTCACAAACTGTCCATTATCGTTTCAGTCAAACAGTAACGGACTGCTAAAAAAGTTCTATAGTTGATTATCATGTTTTTACTTTAATGACCTCTCTTTATAATATTTTTTTAAATTTCATATCTTATTCCTAGATCTAGATTTCTGTAATCTAGATTCAATTCTCTCTTTCCTCACTAGCATTGTTAATTTTGAGAGTACATATAACTCAAAATTTGTTTAGTAATATTTTTTCTGGGCTTTATTACCTTTTTTTAAACGATGAAAATAGTTTTTTTTCTTTTTTTTTCTTTTTTTTCTTTTCCTGTAAACTTTTATGAAGGCTCATTAAGTTCACATATTCATTGCCAATGTTTTTTTTCCAAAATTGTTCCTGTCAAGCCAGAAAAACTTGCAAAAAATTTCAAGCAAGCTCCAAAAGCATAGTTTTGTTAGATACCATCAGGCAGTGTATGCATTTTCGATATTTGAGGGAGTTTTTGGTCCAAAAAATTAGAAATCTGTGATATTTTTAGACATTGATTCGTAGTTTGTTTACCTGCACTAATTCTCCCAAGATATGACTCAGAAGAATAGCTGATTGATGAAATGCCGAGACAGGTTGACGAAAGAATTCAAATCTACGGCTCTTCAAGATCTGAAGATCTTTAATTTTCACTGAGGACAGAATAAATTTTACCTCTTGCATCATTTAATAAGCGAATATATGTGCATTTTTTACATGATTTTCAATTTTACCTGGAATACCAAGTCTTTGGTCTTTATCCTCTCTTCTTATGCCCCTTCAAGTACTTTCTCGATTGAAAAACTGGTTATTATCGCCTGTGCCTGTCATTCACTCTCTCATCCGCTTTTTCTTGTATTGAGTTATCATCAACCTCCTCATCCACCGTTCTGCCAAAGTTTCATTCATCAGTGTCTTTTTGTCTGCCTTTCCGTTGAATTCATTCGTCATTATTTTTTTTGTCTATTTTGCGCTCTGCTCCAGGTTCTATTTTGTCAGGTAAACACTCGCTTATTCTGATTTGTGCGATGTTCACGTTTGTCGGCTTGTGCAACTTTAGGGTGTGCATGTTTTCTGTCTGGTTCCTTTGTAGATGAGTTTCAAAATATCCTTTAGGAGGAAACTGATTCTTAAATAGGATTTTACTCTAACGAAGGAAGCGGTTGAAACATTTATTTCTGATTAACCTTCCAACGAAGTCAAATCAATAGTTTTAAGCATGCCAGGAGGGCTCACTTTTTTTTTTTTAATTCTGATCATTGTTGATTGTCAGATTCACTGTCTGACAAAGGAGTTGATTTTTTTTAATTTTCTATTATTTTTCCTAATTCATGTGTGATACTTTGACTTTATGACATTAGGTCACTATAAAGGTCTTATTTATCAATAAGCGTCACATGTTCTCTCTTCGAATTCTCACATAGACAATTATTCGTACAACAGGAAGCTGAGAATTCATCTTCTGAACGAGATATTAACAAATATTTGTAACACAGATCAAATGAAAGTTAGATTATGCAAATTGCACCATCAGTATTGTTGCCATTTAACAAATGTTCATTGTAAACACTCAGGTCTACTTTAGCAATTTTGAAGAGAAAACATGTAGGGAAGTTCTCAGTTTCATATCTTGTCTAGAGGCTGCTTGAGGTCCATCGAAATTTTAGGAAGTTTTGAGACACATACATTCTGCAATGGAATTGCACTTGTAAAAACAAAAATGAACCTTATGAAAAAAATAAAAAGAAAAAAAAAAAAAAACAAGAAAAAAAATCTTCTACATTGCCATCATTTTTGTGCAACGACATTAGTTTTATTAGACTCAAAATTGTCTTTTTCACTCAAGGGCCATGACAATTATATTATTTATGTGCGTCATTCTGTATTCTTAGCGCTCCATCATAATTCCTAGATTTCGTAATTTTTCTTTAATTGAGCAGAATTGTAAAGCATGTTATTCATTATGCAATTTGTTTTAATTCTTTAATATACCAAGGCCTCTCTTAAGTTACCATAAAGGGTCACTAAAGTGTATTAATCTGGATTTGCTTCTGGTTTCTCTAAGAAATATAATCATAAGATACTGTAACTCAATTGAGTCCACTGGTCATTAGACTTATCTGAAATGATTCTTTAATGAGAAATCACCTTGCCGTGTGTAGAATTTTAAGTTCAGACAATGTAAATAACTGCGGAATCTATTAATTTTAATGTCGCATAAAGAATCTTTTTAAAAATTCTTTTTAATTTTGCTTTCAGTAGTAGATGTTAAAAATTTAATGTATTTAAACACAATTGCTAGTGACAGCCAAAATATTCCAACTCATAACCTTGGGACCAAGCCAACTACTACTGTTTTAAAAATAATGCATGTAAAATTTAGAAGAAGGCATGTTTTTTGTGTAAACGTTTTTATTTTTCAACTGAATAGGTTTGAAATTGTCAATTAATTCAACCTTTTTAAAAGTCTTGGTGTGAAGATGTCAGTTAAAGAACCGAAGAATCTGCAGCCGTGAAAACAGTATGATGGAAGGGAATAAAGGAGAAAGAGAGAGAGAGAAAAAAAAGAAATTCAAACTAAAGATCGCTAAAGATCACTAAAGATCACTAAAGATCAGTATTCAAGTCAAACCTGCAGCCTAATAGGACGCATTTAAATTAAAAGAAACTATATCCAGTGTGACTTGAACCCTGCCATGCATGTACTCTTATGAATCTCAGGGTTCATGTCAGAATATATATAGCTCCTTTTCATTTATATATGTCCAATTATTGGAACTATTTTTGACCGTGTCAGTAAGATAAGACAAGACATAGCCCTATCTGTGCAGTGTTAGAAGTCGATTTTTGAAGTGTAGTTATGCTGACATTACGTTCAACTGCATGGTAAATTAGGTATAATAACTGGACGTAATTATGTGAAAAGGAACTATGCGCAAGTGGAAAGATGGGATGTGCTTGTGGAAGCTGCATAAGAAACAATGCAAAAGTGAATATAGTGCCTTTTGAGAAAATGGAAAAGCGGGATTTGACACTAAATCAAAAGGAACTGAGTGCTAACTCATGAGCCGTAGGCATTTGACAAAAGCCTTGTGGACAGGGCTCATGAGTTAAAAGAGTCCCGCCACCGATCTCCCAGTCGTGGCTCCTCGTACGTTTCCGCTGACGTCACTGGCGCTTTTGAAGTCCCATTCATTCCTATGGCCCTCAACTGACCAGCACACCCCATCTTTCCACTATCACATAGTTCCATTTAGCATAAATACGTCCAACTGTGAATATATGCAACCCTGAAGTAGAAGAAATAGATGTACTTTATCCCATTTATTTACAGGGTCTCTGTATGTCATAAAAATTATGTTTGTTGTTTTTCCACCATTATACCCAACTGAAAAGTGCATCTTTACCCGCATAGCGATATCATCTTGTCAGAGCTGAAGATGATTGTTATCAGTGAGAGTTATTTATACTTGTGTTGGATTTCTTTTAGGTAAATGAGCTCAGCATAACTTTAGGCAAAATTCAAGTTCAAGCGGAATTACCTATATCAGAACTATAAATTTGGCCTGAAGGCATTCAATCAGGATTTAAAATATCAGCGTGAATGGACTAAGTGTAGCAGGAAGGCACCAAGCCCTCTTTTGGAAAAAAATGAGATTGGAGTTATTTTGAATCTAATAAATTGTAACTTTTCTCTTGTCAGAAATTCAAAGTAGAGATAGAAATGTTGAACTTAAAATTATCGTTAAACGTGCATCATTCCACTGAATTTCAAGAAGGTATACATTTTCAAACCCCTCTGTCTCGGTGCAAAATTGATGCAACTTGGTGCCTTCCCGTTCAATTCGGTCCAAATCAGTTGAAATTCGTTACATCTTCAAAACCGAGAAACACTCGTTTCCTTGATCACCCAGAAGAGACTTTTCTTTCAGAATAGAATTTTTCACAACTATCTCTTTGTGGGATCTTCAATTATTATCACCATTTAAAATGTTTTTTGACTGTACCTATTGTTTTCACAACCTGCCACCCATGTTTTATTTTTCATCATGTCCTTTTTTCCGATTGTTATATTCATATTTTTGTACCCGATTTTTATTTTCCTTTTTTAATAACACTTAATAGTTCTAGAATTTAAATATGTCTAATCTTGCTGTTTGAAACTAATCTAATGTGTAAATTTTTCAGCTCGACCAACGTTTTTGAATTTGAACATAAATTTGAACTCCTTGAGACTCCAGCCTGGCTCCAAATGTACGTCTCTAAATAATGTACATTTTGAATTGTTTTTTTCCATCGCTCCATTTTGTGTTGATTATCGCCTTGTTTTCTAGGAGCTACTTGAATCCTCACATATTGTCTTTTTTCGTGCGTGCATTTATTTCGTAGTTGTCATTTTCTTGCGCTTCTCATAGTATTTTTTCTTACAGGCTCTGTTCCTTGTCCATCTAGATTCTAAGCCTTTCAACATGTAAATTGTATTATTTTGCTATCGTTTTTAGAAGTTTTTAATTTAATTTAATTTTGTAGGTATGCATTTGCTTTTATATTTTAGTGTGAATAGTGTGAAGAATATTTTCCCTGTGAAAATGCAAGCAGGTCATGCAGCTTCCGGAGTTGAAAATTTCATTTTTTTTGCAGATAGTTATTGGTCTTTAATTTTAATCCTCATCCTCGGTTGCCTTCAGCCTTTTCTCTGTAGCTCTTAGATTTTTTGTTTACTTGTAGTGAATTCATTCTATCATTTCTTTTAATTATATCTAAAAACCTTGTGAACATTTTTGTTTCTTTTGCATTTATTAAGTAGTTGTCCGCTGAATCTTGTCTTCCTTTTTATTTTTATTTTTTGGATTGACTCTGTTTTACTCAGTAGTTTTTGATTCTATCATTTACCTCATTTCTTGTATTTTCTTAAAATGAGTTTTATTGCTCTTATATTTCCAACATTGGTTGTATGTGTCTAAAGTGGAAAGACTCAACTATAATTTCATTGACGGATTGGTATATTGGAAACAGGAGCTTCTAAGACAGGAGTGTCTCTCTATTTTCAATTGTAAAAAAACAACTTCATCTGGGGCTATCCACAAATTACACACTGCTCTCAGTTAGCAGATTTTAGCGCAGATTTTTCTAAAATTGCTCCATTATTGCAGTAAAAATAGCAACAAAAATTTCAATTTCTATGTAAAAAGGAAAGAAGATTGAGCAAAGCAGTACACGCTTTTTCAGGTGAGAGTGCAGGCGCCACAGGAGAGGGGCCTCTAGAATTCCGAATTTCAATATTGCGTATTTTATGAACGGACGTCTTTGACCTGCCTCCCATCGAAAGTTTTTGACAGTACTTCGTTCCACTCATGAAAAATTTCTTGATAAGGCTTTGGCTGGAAACTGGGGAGAAACCAAATAACTTTGGAAACTGGGGAAAATGTTTTTTTTTTTCTCTTTTTTTTTCTCCCCCAAATTTGTTGAAAAAGGCTGCACACCCCACTCTCTTATGTTTTAAATTCTGTCCTGATGGTTTGAATATCTGTTTCTGTCCACTTGAGAAACTGATGTGATGGGGTGAGCTCCCGTTTCACCGTTTCCATTCAATTTTTGCAACTATAATTAATGTAACTTAATTTTATTTTGGTTTTTAGCCTCACCAAATGCCAAATTAGGATTGAGGATGACAACTTTGCACGAGGAACAGTCATGTGCTCCAAACGATGATGAAGACGGAGAGGAAAGATTCGTCGAACCCGTCATCACGAGTTCCCGGATGCGGAGATCCAAGTCAAATCTATTACACAGTCGACACTATGAGTCTGATTTTGATACTCATGAGGTTTGTTCACCTCTCGTAGTATTAAATTAAGTTACGCCTCATGTATTCGTTGCAACTCTAGAGGCCAGTCAAGCTTTATAGTGTATTTACGATGTGAAATGTTTGAGCAAAACAATCTGCACTTCCAAATCTTAATGAAACCGTTTGCCTATGATAATTTCTGTTTACTTCTATGTGGATGGCCCAAACAAAGCTGCTCGTCTGTTTCCAAAACTCACTTTTTAACTATAATATATGTGTTCAAAATTGCATGAGGCGAATCATTCTCACTATCTTTTAGAGGAATAGCCGGCCTGAGAAAACAAAAAGCAAAATCGATGAATTTGAAACCCTTCAAAATGGCAGTACCCTCCTTTATTTTCTGCCCTTGCAAAATCACTACTCATTTGCTGCGAAGTTGAGGTAGGCTGCCAACGTCTGTTCTTCCACCATAGACTTTGCCGATGGTGACACCACTAATTTCTAAAAGCACAGTACGTTTTTCAAACCGTGTTTTTCAGCTGCTTGCTGAGCTGACTCATCACAATGACTTATTTTTTTGTTTTATAAGTGAATGGTTGTTAATCAAGATAACAAAATCCAAAGAACACAAAGACCAAATGTAAAATTTAACACCAAGGAAAACTAACAAGAATAAGAGATCAGTTTCAGAAAAACTTAACAAATAAATACAAAAAAAAAGAATGCTTAACAAAAATGAACCATTACAAAAAAGTAGAAAAACCATTACCAAAACCATTTCCATGAAGATTGTTTTTGTGCTCATTTTGAAACTGATCATATGGTGTCTTCCTTCTCCCCAGACTGGAATGAAGGATAGAACAGCAAGAACGCTGCCAAATTCTCGGACCCTTGATTCTCTCGCCGAATTCCAGGGTGCAAAAATGACGCCAAGCACAACATCCAGGTCTGTAAATTACATTATTTTTATCAGCACATCATTTAAAGATGAAATTAACATTTAGATTTGTCATTATTTGTTTCAAAGAACCAAAGCGTGAAACGCCCCAGTGAAATAGACATATGTTGGTTGATATGATCAGTCAAAGGTTTTTCTCACTATAACGCATCATCTGCTTGGACATAACTAGTGTGCCACCAAATAGCTGAACTCCTCAGGGAAAATAAAACTCTACGTGAGATTTTCGCCTCTATAGTCAGAAAAGTAGAACAACATATGTATGTGCCAGTTTCCCTATGCAGATAAGTGTTTTTATGGATGAGCCAGACCTTGTAGTTCCTAATTGCAAACTGCTGTCCAGAGTTGGGAAAAAATTATATGGAAATTACTTGGTCAATCAGAAATGTCCGATCAATCGTCAATCGGACAAATAATTTGACAATTGATCTACCTTATCAAGTAAAGAGTTCAGAGGACCAAGAGTCCTGCCAGAGTTGCCGCTCCAATTTCAGTAACCACCCAATTATTCGCGCCCATTTCTGTTGCTGTCCAATGATTGTCATACACCTTTTATAAATTCCTATAACAACCTCTATACTATTTGCTCTATCTCTTCATTTCCATTTCTCTCTACAGCGGGTACGGATCAGAAGCCGTCTCATCATCCAATCTTACAAACGAGGATGCATCATCAATACGAAGCATCAATGCTGATTACACACCCGATTTCGACTGTGCAACTCAATCCATAGACAAAGCCATAACTGAGCTTTCCATCTCAAAGCCAAGGGAGGAGAATGCCTCAGAGTCGCTGAGAACGAGCGAGACACAAGAAATGAAAATGGAAGAGAGGAGTAGTGGATCCTCCAGCGGAGAACATCATCATTCAGCCGATGATGACACTCTAACTCCGTCCTCGGATAAGGTGAGCAATATTTTGTGTTAAATCATACAGTATTTCTTCGCTTGATTCGCTTTTTATCCGAAGCTCTTTTTCCAAACAGAATATTAGAGTGCCGGTTAACCGTCAGTTATGCTTGAGGTGGTTTGATGGACGCCCTATTTTGTGTCAGAACGACATGCGATTTATCGCATCAATTGGTCCCATTTTTTCAGCTACTCGTCATTTTCCTCGAATTTCGATATCGCAATTCTATTGTCAGGAGGCTAAAAAATTCATTCACCCATTTTGACAAACAAATTCAACGTAATGAAGACGAGGGTTTTTAAGAGGAAAAATATCGCATTGGAGTGCAGTTTCGATATCAGTATTAAGTGCGATATTTTTCCTCTAAAAATACCACGCCTTTATCACGTTGAATTTGTTAGTGAAAATCGGTAAGTAATTTTTCTGTCTCCTGACAACAGAATTACGATCTCAGAATTTGAGAAAAATGACAAGTAGCTGAAAAAATGGAACTTAATCATCTTTTACAGAATAATTTAGCGCCCTATTTCAAATGGTCCAGCCTTTGCCCCCTTGTGATTGTAATTAATAACTGAATTAGTGAACATATCTACTAAACAAAGCCCTCAGTGATAGGATTGGCAATGTCACACACCTTCCTTTAAACCAATGGAAAATTGAAATGAGCAGTAACAAGTATCTGTAAAGGAGCATTTTGACCATTCTTATTTTGTACCACTTTTCGCAAAAACTTTAGTGTTCCCTTTGCCTTCATCAATACGTTCAGCACTGCCCTTTTTTTACGTTTTCCAAATTTGGACTTAGTATTAATAATCCTCTTTCTTGTGTGTTAATGAAGGTGGTCCGTCGGAAAAAATCTAGTACAAGAAGTCAGCAGTCAAGAGCATCTTTTCCACAAGCCAAAGGGCAAACCTCCGAAGAGAAACCACGATTAAAATTGGATCAGCAGTTGAACAGCTCCTCTGAATCGACCGATGAAAGGAATACTACAGAAGGTACGTTTACTTTTTATCATCGATATTTTTCATTCTATCTAAATCGAAAAATTAATGTATACGATGAGTAGTAAAAGTTACCTCCTGGTTCTTTCTATATTGGGCTTGCAAGCATACTTAAATTGCAGAAAACTTATGGATTTTTGGATTTTGAAATTTTAGAGAAAAGAAAGTGGTTGAATTGAAAAAAAGTTAAATTCTTTACCCTGTTTGCTCCAAATTAGGGTGAGCTGTAGTGAGCATCGGTAATAATTTTGTTAAAAGTGGGTTTATTGCTCGTCCTGAACTGTTCAGAGTGACGGTAATTCCCGTGGATAGTACCCTAACACCTAGTCTGAATTTCTGTAACTTTTTTGTTCTGTTTTTAAGTCTCCTAGAATTGATTTCTCACCTCAATATTTAATCAGCCTAACTTTCAACTTTTTATATTTTCAACCCGACTCATTTTATATATGAATTATTTTATGTTTAATTTATGGACATATTTTTCCAATATCAAGACAAAATGGAGAAAAAATACAATAAAGGCAATACATTAACACACCATTATTTCCCTAAGGCAGTCAGCACAGCTTTGTCACACTTGTCAGTTCTAAGCAAGAAAAGCAAAAAGTATCCGCAACTCTAAGTTATCCTTTAGGCGTGGTTTAGTATCACTGCCGAATCAAAATCCCCCGTGCCTCTAATCATAAATTCTTACTTCTGTGAAATTTTTAGATGACATGCAAACCAGTTTTGAGGATGTGATACCTGATTGGGTGGCAGTAGGCGAAAGGGTCTTGATTCGTCCATACGGCTCAAGTGGAGTCATAGGGTTCGTTGGAACCACTCAGTTTGCAGTTGGCATTTGGATTGGTGTCGAATTAGATGCCCCCACTGGTAAGCTCTCTCACAAGATTTACCGGTAGAAAATTTTCCGCATCCCTGTAAACAAATATTGGCATATTTTCATTAGATGAGCATTTCAATGTGCTTATTTTTTCACAAGTTGCATAAAAGTGTCTAGGAGAAAGAGGGGAATCTTTTAAAATCTGACGCAAGTATTTTTTCAAGCATACCTGTATATTTTTTTAGTTGACCCATTTTGACTAATCAGTGTGAATTTTTCTAATTTTTCTAATTTTTTTTTTTTTTTGTGAGACATTTAAAATTGCTATTCATTTTATTGTTTCATTTCATTTCATTCATTTTGAGTTTGACATTCATGCTATTTGGAACCTCACCATCTTTTCGTTACATCAAGTTTAGAAATTTTCAGAATGCAAGTTCTTATCTGCAGAAAATTTTGGTGAAAAAACAAACAACATACTCAGTGAATTCAGACGTGTCTAGAGGTCTGTTGTAGAGAACTTTTAGAACTAAGGTTTTTTATTTTGGCAGTTCAGTATCATATTGTTGATTAAATATTAGTTGTAAAGGAAGGGTATCGATAAGGGCCATATTTTACGTACTGCATCGTGATTTTGCCATTTTCAGTCCTTTTTTGGGTGTAGTAGTGACCTAGACACAGGTCGTAAGGCTGATTTTGGCGAGAAGTGCAAGTTGTTTGGCATTCAAGGAGTCGTTTCATATCAAACCCGTTGCCGTTGGAGAACAAAGAAAAAACCCTTGAGTATGTTTATTAGAGATGTGAGAGCTTTAAATTGGCCAATATTGATCGAGGCATAACCTTGCACTCATAGTTGGAAGAAACTTTTTAGAATTTTCGATTTTTTGACCATCGTTGAAAATGGTTCCAAAAGAGTGACGTACATACTTTGGAAATTGACGTCTTTGATGGATGTGGGCTGAGGGAGTATGAACACTTTTTTCAAGGTTGGATACTTTATTCGATTTAAACTTCAGAAGAAAACCTACATTGCAAGATCAATAAGTATGATAGTTAAAGTAACCAAAACTAATTATTCATTACATAATACATTTTTCGTGTTTGTTTTTCAGGCAAAAATGATGGAACCGTTCAAGGTGTGAAATACTTTGATGCGAGACCCAAACATGGAATTTTCGTTCGCGTCGACAAACTTATTCAAGATCGCCGGGGAGCGCGCGCAATGAAATCAAACACATTGCCCCGCGCTCCGAGCAAAGGGGAAGGTCTCAACAAAATGGGCCGGAATGATGGTAATCAAAACAAGACTGCGACTCTTAAATCGGGACTCAAATAACATTCGGCTCCCTCGGCGTACCGCCACAGGAAATCTCGATGGTGATCTTTGTTCTTAGCCATTGTTCTGAAAGTAGCCTCACCGTTTTTGTTCCCGTTTCTTGGTTTGTTCAGCATTCTAAGGCATGAACCACTGTCAATAAGCTTAAGGTACTCTGGTGCACAATTACCTTTTCCTTTTGAAACATTGCTTGGACCCACATGTGGCCAAGGACTTATTTCCTATGCGCAAGGACTCTTACGCACTATGCTGCACTTCAGCGCAATTTTTTCAAGGTTTTAAGAATTCCTCTTTTCAGATATTCTGCATAATAGTGTTACCTGCAGTCAGAAGTGAGGTTAGATATATTAGTAATATCAGTGAATTGATGTTCATTCATTAGGGAAAATAATTTGTATTTTTTGTATGGGGTGTGACATCTGAAACATTTTTACTTCTAAGTAGCTTCGTCACGTCGAGGCAATTTTTCAGTCATACTAGCATTGACGACCAGTTTCATGGTCCTAGAGTTGTACGTTTTATCAATAATCGGTTTAAGTTCAGAATGGGAGAGCTCTAACAAGTCTCTCAGAAAGTTACGGAAAATCCAGTAAGACATTCAAGGTCATGAGTATAATGAATTCTCTATCCTTGTCCAACTTGAATTTTAGTAAGCTTTGCACCAAAAAGCCCGCAGTTTTATAGTTTTTTTAATCATCAATGTGAAATAACTATGATTTACAAGTTCAGATTATGCTTTATATGTAAGCAGTTTACATTCGAAGCAATTTTAGTGAAGTAAATTTCTAGGTCATTCACGTTTTAGAACATTCCCTCTTTTTTTGTCTGTGTATATTACTTATTTTAATAAAATGATTTCATGCTTTTGATGTCTAAAAAATGGGAAAGCTGACCTTATCCTCTTTATTTTTAATTTTGCCCTGCAATTTATGTCAAAAAGAAGAGGTTTAATTATGATGCCTTTTCTTTGCAATTTTTCACAAGACTGATTGTGAACCATTGAATGTATTAGCCATTTTTTTTGTGGAACTAATTAATCTGAACGTACACCTTTCACAATGCTGATCATACGGAAGTCTGCTTGTCAATTGCATTCATTTCCATCAGTCCCAGTTATTGTAAGCTATTTGGAAATTTACATTCTGAAATCAAAGCTCCACAAAAGATGCGATGAAAATGAAATCCTCAATTAGTCCTTTCACAAATCAATGAAATTTATTCAATCGGTCATTCATTCCATAGTCCGTCTCTTGAAACTGAACTGTTTTATAATATGCCTTTTAGTCGACCACTGACCACAAATTTTTGCATGAATTTTACCCTATCTTGCTCGCAGGAAGTCCGTCATGTCCTGTTCATTAGAAAATGTCCCCTCTATTCATCATATTTTAGGGTTTGCTTTGCTTCCTGATTCACATCACAATTCATACTTTTTTGTGTACATCTGTTGCAAATGGTGGAATACTTTCTGAAATTGATCACTTTGTCAATCAAATTCAAGTCCTTTACTCAACGTGTGGTGAAAGTCACTAAAGTAATGATGAAAGATTGTTGCCTTGTAAGTAAGGTGTCCGTTCTGTAATTTTATTTTTGAATGAACTCTCAAACTTATCCTGGATACATCTGTTTTGTTCCATCATCTACCTTGAACTTTTGACATCTCGTTGTAATTTTGCTGTCCGTACACGTAGGAAATGTTGATGCTAAAATTACCCTTCTGATTGATGGTTATCAGTGGTTTTGCAATCCTTGAAAATTACCGAAATAAAAACCTTACTGGCTCATTCAAATTTTTGAATTTCAAAGTCATAGTAAATACATAGTCACTTAGTTCATCATTTTAGACGTTCACTTTTTACGCAAGTAACATTAAGATACATTCCTGCTCTCTGGAACTCACCTTTGCACTCTGAAGTTTAGAACTTAACCACAACATTTCTTTGTTTATCTTAACGGTTCACCATTGTTATTCATGTTTCTCAAGTATCACTTGCCGAATAAGGTTTGCGGACAGTTCTGGCAAATTATTCTACAAACTAGAATTCCTATTTGTATATAGAATGTATTTTGATCAACAGATCTTCTTACACTATTTGTACAAAAATGATCTAATGAGTAAAGCAGCTGTAGAATGCTTTAATTTTTCTCAAGAAAGAATATTTTCCGCTCCAAAATTTACATTCTCCAATTATCTTAGAACTACGGTGCTCCAATCCATTCCCAGAAAATCAATTCTTGGTGCAGGCTTTTTTCATTCTAAAATGCAGAACTGAATATGGAAACGTCCTTTTGTAATGAAAACGCTCATTCTGTTAATTTTAGTATTTGTTTCAGTTTCCCCAACTTTCATTCCTTAGACATGAAAAAGTCAATGACTGATTCAGAGGATTTTTTTTTGGAAAATATTCTTTTTACTGATGTAGTCGGTTGTTGTAACCAGAAAATGAGTGTTGCGTGAATTTTTTTAATGAAGGTGTAGATAGTGCAAATCTTGTAAGGATAGTATGTGTTAAAGCTGCCATTCTGAATCAAGGAAATTAGGTTTGTCATCGGAGGAAAAATACTGTGCTCAAAGCTGTTCGATAGAACTGTGCTTGAAGACAGGTGTTAAACCAGTGGCTTAACACATTCACTGCCAATGTATTTTTTGTAAAATTCTTTCTTTCAGATCAGAAAAACATGTAAATAAATGGTGGAATTGGAACGCTGCAAACAATAGCTTCCGCCGATTGCTGGGACATGAGCGCTTAATATTGGTTACATACCCCCCATCGGTGGTTTGCCTCTGTATAATGCGTACCTTGGGAGGTCTGTAGATAGCCCCTTTAGTAGTCCACTAAAAACGCTCTTTTCAGAACGCCTGTCATTATGACCAATTTGGCAGTGAATGCGTTAATCTCTGAGGAAAGATTCTCTTTTGAAAAGAAGACAACGATTCTGAAATCCTTTTCTGCATCTCATCCAGAAAAACCTGACTTCAAAATGACAACCTTCCTGAGTCTGAACTAATTCTTCTTCATTTCTCCAAATTGTAAATTGGCATCCTTGAAATATCCTTGAGGGGTGGAAGAAAGCGATGTCTGTCTTGTAAACAACATTCTGATGATGAATCACGATCTTTGTTCAAGGATGTTTCGTAATTAACTTGTCGCTCGAACTGAAATACCTTGTGAAGACAGGCGCACATAGATGATCAAAACAATTGGAAATCTGAAACAGAACGGAACCTTTCTTGTGACGGTTGCTTTTCTTTCACCCTCATCGTCAGCTTTAATCGTATTTTATTCATCATGGTGCTTATGTTTTGCAGATAGCAATTACTGTCCATTTCTGTGTTTAAAATAATTTGCTTGTAATTTTACCTGAACATCAGCTAACCGTCTTTTGTACATTAATAATTCTCCGCAATGTCGAATGTGAGGTTGAGCATGAGCTAGGCTGTAATTCTAATAAGGAGTTTCGTGTATAAATTATCTGATTCATTCACTTTTTAATTTGCGTCACATAAGGTTGTTTCAAATTTTGTTTTTTTTGACTGGAGCTTGTACAAATTTTCAGAATTGTTGTTAAGTTTTTTTTTTTTCTCTCTATTTCTCTCTCTCTCTTTCTTTCTCTAGTCTATCTCATGTGTTGCATTTAGAAGTCGGATTTCTCTAGTTTAGAATTGCGACTCAATTTTTGATTCCAGCCGGTAACTTTCAAACCTCAGATCTGTTGAAGTTAAACTTGTGGTGGTAGATTAGAGCCATTTTTTTTTTTAAAAATATATTTTATAAACTTTCAACTTTCCCTCTCTTTTCCTTCAATTTCAAAGTTAATGAGTTTTTTTTCTTCCATGTCCCCATCTTTATGTCATTTTATGTACCTTCTTCCATGTCAGAACGAAACACCCGCTTTTTTTTATTTCATTCGTTTCTTACCTTTATATCAAGAGAAAAAACCGTCCAATTCATTCTGCATATTACTAACTGTTCCAAAAAGCATGTAATATTTAGTTTTTAAAATTTATCTCTCCTTTTTTGGATTCTAAAATTTGAATTTTTGTTTTCAATTCCCAACAATTGATTCAATTAAAAAAAATGTAAATCAGCCTCAGTATGCAGGGTTGCCTCTGTCAGCGAATACCAAGAAAAGTCAGAGAATTGTACCAAGTCAGGGAAAATTGTTGACTCACCTTTATACATATGTCTTTTGGAATGGGTTCCACGTTTCAAAAATAAGATTTTGAGTAAAAACTATTTCAAATTATGTCTTTTTAACCATCTGGCATATCTTCAATTGGCAGGGAATTGTACCAAAATATGACTGAGGAATCAGGGATTTGCATTTTCTTAAGTCAGTGGCAACCCTGGGTATGACTTCAGTCGCAATCTTTGCATTATATGTCCCTCCTTTAATCTGTAAGTCATCTCTCAATTATGCCTTTCAGCATTTCGCTCGCACATTTCTGCTTTCATTGCTTACTTTGTTTTAGTTTTCAATCCTTATCAGATTCATCTTTAAGGGACACATTTTACATGGGTTTGTGCAATTTTGACTTTGAGATCCCTGCTATTAACCGCAATAACCATTTGTTTTTCATTATTAAACGGGTTTTTTTTTTGTTTTTTTGTTTTATTTTTTATTATCACCTATTATCGAAGACGGTAACTACAAGCAATAAGTTGAAAGCTCCCAATGATATTCCGTTAGGTTTACACTTTTCTGAATTTTTTATTTTGTCTTCGTTCCTTGAGTCTCAAGGCTGAATTTTTAGTCATTCCTTTAATTTTAAGGTTTCTCTGAGCTGAAAGCAATCATTGCTTAAGAGAGCCGTTGATTCAAAAGAGCGACCGTAAATATGACCCTAAGTGAAATATTTGATTCTATAATACGTGACAGCATTTGAGTGAAGCAATACATTTGCAAACAATATGGCGCATCAATACAAATTTGGTAATCTTGCAATCGTAATTTAACAATAATTATTAATTATCCTTTGAATCCTAGATTGTGTTTTAAATTGTAACTTGCGAGTCCCAGAAGCATAAATGTGAGCTGCATCTCTCTTAGTTTTTTCTTTTCCCCTTGCTTATCCACATTTTTGTGTGCCATCAAAGTTCAAGTAATTCCCCTCTTTTTCTGCTCATCAAGGAATTTCACCAAGTCCCAATCCCAGCATTCTCTCTAAGAACAATTTCTTATTCTTCATGTCCATTCTACCATTTCGATGGCCGTAGGCATACAAAATGGATATTCTTTCAAAGGAAATATCAATAAATAGTATCGCATTAGTAGTTATCGTGAAGCTAATCCTGATCACTGACTTAATTTCTCGCATTTTAATTTTTATCATGTATCTGACTCAGCTGTTTAACTTGATTCTCAGCACCAAAACTGAAATAAAGCACTCAAGTCTCATTCGTGCTCAGATCTTGTTCGTAGTGTAACTCGTAGATTGGAAGTGCATACTAATATTATCTAAAAGCGTCAGCTGCCTGCCATAATCAAGTTTAGCACATCATTTTTTATTTTCATAACTTTGATTTTCACCAGCCTCCTAGTGCGTGGTATTGTGGAATTATTCATTTTTGATTAATTTTTATTTTATTCTTGTGGTGTAATTAAAAGGAATTTAGTGCAATGTAGTTAGCTTGTGATAACTTGAATTCTGTCTAAATGGTGCCTCTACGCAATATCTGAAGTTTTGCCCTTATGTATTCTGGTGCAAGGAACTGAAAATTAATTTTCTGATCAATTCTTTGAAGCATTTGCATTTTTTAAAAGTGAAAGTATGCATGAGTCTTCCCTCTGAATTTACCCTCTTATCACCACAAACACAGCATTTGTGTTCTGCAAAATTGCACTCCTCTCGCAGCATTTCGGCTATTACATGAGAACCTCTAGTCGAAAGTATTCTAAAGTGTATTTCTATCTATCAAAGGGGATCTTTAGTGTGACTTCTGCCACTGTTTGATAGAGTGGCTCTGATTGTTATGCATAACATTCAGTCGTGAGGTATTGTTTTGCAGAACCTAGCCCGGTTATGCAAGGGTTATTCTCCTCTCACTCCTATAATTCCTTTTCAACACAGTTTTTTTTTTTTTTTTTTTTTTGTGTAGGAGTGACAAACACTAATTGATTTATTGTTCAAAAGTCAAACTGTTTTTTTTTGGTAATTTGTTTCTAAACTTAGAACTTTTATCATCTCTAAACTTTCTTTTGGTAATCTTTTATTTTCAAGACTTAAGAAATAATTCTGGGGCAAAAATTCATTTTATCAATGTTGTGAAATTATTGCCCATAATTTTATTTATTATTTCATATTATTTAGTATTTCAAATTTTTTATTCGAGTTCTGAAAAGACTTTGAACGGATTTTTTACTTATAATCAAAGCTCCAAACTTTTAAATAATCAAGTTTTTCCTTCCATAACACTTGTGCAATCTCAGTTAGCCAAAACTGAACCGATAAAACTTGCTTAGAGGCACCGTCATTTGTTCCATAATTTTAGGATTTTTTTTTTTTTTTACTTTTGCGATTTCTTAATACAATCATTTTGATTTCTTTTGCTGAGGCTGCTACTATGTACATATCAAGAACTATCCTTTGTATCTGCAGGATGTACAGTTGAATCACTTTTTCCCAGATGAAAATAAGTTTGAAGCCTTCCATCTCCCACTTTCATCAGCATTCCCTCCGTAATGTGGAGAAAGAACATTAGGAGTACTTCTTTGCTGTTTCATAGAGTGGCAAAAAGTCTGGTAAAGTTTTTATAACATTATCCAAATTATCCTGCATTGGGATCTTTTGATTAGGCAGAGAAGAAATTTAATGTGTAAATTTTTACTCTGCTTTGTGCATCAGTGCAAGGAATTATCTGGAGAGAATTATAAAAAATTGTTGAACGAATTGAATTTAGCCCTCTGTCTTTGCTTTTTTTCTTTTTTTTTTCTTTAATCAGCTTTTTCACCGTTAGTCCCCATTTTGTTTCGTGACACTGATTTGTAAGGCTCTTAAAATCTTAAAAGTTTGAGGGGTTCTGATTACTTCATGATCAGATAAAAGTTGGAACAGCTTTAGTTTTCATGAATTATAGTTTTGACTCAAATTACAACTCCCTGACCGAGAGACGAACCATCATTTTGTACCAGCAAATCTTTCTTGCCAATCGTTCCTGTTGATTTTTTATCTCGCCAATATCATTCGGAATATGATTTGTGTGGCTTGCGCATTTTTATTTTACTGCGATTTTGATTTATTTTAGTTTATATTTTTATCTTACATCATTGTTTTACCATTTCTTTGACTGGTCGGCTGTTATTTACTGATAAGTTTCTTTGTTCCAATCAATGTTTGTACATTTATGTTCAGTCTTAATTTAATTTTTTTTTCTCTTAATTTATTTTTATTTGAATCAAGTACGGTTATACCTAAATAAAATATTATATTAGCATACTTTGGTTTCAAGTGTTATTAAATCATAGTGTACTTATATCTTTCTCTGGCCAACTCACATCTGCAGCACACTGCTGTTTGTATCAATAATTACGTAAAAAATTAAAAAAAAAAAAAAAAAATAAGAAAGTTCCTCAGCTGTTAAAAGACAAAGGACTCATCCTGTTGACCGTAGCTCAATATAAAATTATTTGAGGCTTGTAGATAATTCCTAAATTCCCACCTGCTGTAAACTCCTTACCTTAGTTTTTTAAAGCATCTCAGAGCCTTTTTCTTCAATCCATTCATGATCTAGTCTCAGAAATCTGACACTGCTTTTTTTTTTCATTAGCTCAGCATTCAATAGCTCCATAGCATTATTTCAATTACCAATAGCAGTTTTAATTCCCCAATAAACACAAGGTAATGCTTGTTCCTGGATCATAAAATAATCATGAAAGGTTTGAAGAAAAATGTTTTGGTGATCGCAGACATGAAATCAATAAGAGATACAAACTCTAGAATCGGATTCAGAAAGTCATTCTCTAAGGGAAATAGATTGGTTTCAGCCCAATCAGAGAACTTTCGATTTTGACCCGGAAAATTTAGTCTATGTAACCCCTGTCATTTTTATTCAATTTTGGACGGGACAAAAAATTTCAAGAATGGTGACGAATCTTTGGTATGTAATATGAGACGTACAATCGATTACGCTTGGTCCCGAGGCCCCCTGCGGCTTCCTAAGCCAAGAAACTGTCAAAAACGAGTGTCTTTTGCCCTGTCAAAAAAGTGCTGCGATCTCGTTCTTTTCGCGGATTGCGCAAACTAGTGGACTCGTCGATTTTTCCGACCGGAAAATCAGACTCAGGGGTTATTTTCCAGATGACTAGTTCGGTTTGAGCCAATATTGTTACCATTATACAGGGCCGGATTTAGGGAATGGCCACATGGGCCGTGGCCCATGGCGGCAAATTTAGGAGGCGGCAAATTTTGCAATTTTTTTTAAATTTAGGTATAAAAAAATCAGATTCAGAAAAAAAATTACAAACGAGAAAAGGTGACAAAATCTCTCATTTCCTGAGAGTATAGTAATTTATAATTTTGTCGTCTTTCAAGATACAAGAGACAGCACCTTTAATTAGTCGAGTTAAAAGAGAAACTAAACACGCAATTTGGCCTGGAACAGCGCAGCGCAGAGAGCAATGATGATGAGGAATTGAGATGAAAAGGAGAAGCCCTCGGCGCACGGTGGATCGAGTCAATGGTACAGGTCGGTCATGGGCGATTCGGGCGAATCGCATTTTTTAAGGGTCAAAAGTGTTCCTCAAGAGTTATATTTTAAGGATCTGACATTGATTTGGAACGAAACATGTTCATTTTTGTGACAGAAGGCATCAAAGGGGGGCTTTGCGTAACTTTTTATTTTAGCGAAAAATCGTCCGAGTCTTTCTATTCCATTTAACTTGCTTCTGTTTAAATTAATGCTAATTTCATTGACATATTCTTGTTCTTCAGAGTCTGGAGAACACATTGCACTAGTAATTTTTTGTATTCGGCCCATTTTTTCAATGATTATGTTTGCGCTAATGTGCTCATCTCAAAAAGCGAAAAAAAAAAGTTTAGGTAAACTTTTAACTACCCATCCGCCACCATCCGCCAGAAAAATTTGTATAGGCATGTTCGTAGGAGTCCTGAGAATACGATCCCGCAAAATTTGGGTGCCACTTTGCGCCACTTTGGCCGTGACGTCACTTTTTCTGTTGCGTTCTGAGATTGTGCGCGAGCCTTATCTCGAAAATCAAGCGACCGGTTAGCTGCCGCGGCATTTAGCTTGCTTCTGTTTAAATTAATGATGGTTTCATTAATTGATTCTTATTTTCCAGAGTCTGGAGAACACATACCGCTAATAATTTTTTGTATTCGGCCCATTTTTTCAATGATTATGTTTGCACTAATGTGCTTATATCAAAATGCAGAAAAAAAAAGTTAAGGTAGACTTTTAACTACCCACCCGCCACCATCCGCCAGAAAAATTTGTATAGGCATGTTCGTAGGAGTCCTGAGAATACGATCCCGCAAAATTTGGGTGCCACTTTGCGCCACTTTGGCCGTGACGTCACTTTTTCTGTTGCATTCCGAGATTGCGCGCGAGCTTTATCTCGAAAATCAAGCGACCAGTGAACTCTCGTAACTGCTAAATGACCCAGGTAGGTATGATTCCTGTTCGTCGGAAACTGAAAAACAAGTTTCACCATCAAGACGTGCTCTTTGGCCCGTTTTTCGTATTTTCATTATTTCCTAAACTACATATCTATAGGAGAATTAAAAAAAATATCGGGCATATTTTCACTCGGATATCCCTTTATATCCCTTATAGAAAGCTTTTTTGGGACGTATGCGTAGATAGCTTGAGGAAACTTTTAGCAAGTACCCCCCCCCCCTTTACTTGCCTGGCCCCTGACTATGATGCCATTTTATCTGTTGGCCTTCGCGATCGCGCGCGACCGGTCACTGGTGAACTCTGATAACCGATGCTTCTTTCAAATACGTACATATTTTTTTTTAATTTGTCACCGATTTCGATGTAAACAAAGTGCAGTCAGTGAGAAACTGATTACACTGCGAGTACGTTTTAACGTTACAAGTCCGGGAAATATTGGAATTTTTGCGGTTTTTTGCGTTGCTTGTTTTTTAAGTTTGATGCGGTTTGAGAGCGGAAGACGAGGATGAGAGTGATGGGGAACTGAATGTGAAGAAGAAGAAGAAGACGAAGAAGAATAAGGAGAAGCAGATGACAGATGACTGTTACATGTTTAAATTTGTTTTTCTTTTCTTTTTTTTTCTAGCCATCTAGTGTTTTTCCTACTCTAAATCCCTGTTCCGTCCTCTGGATGTAAATATGAATTTAAAGTAAAAGTGATCTTGAATATTTTCAAAGAATTCATAAATGTATTTCATTTGTTTTCTCACCGATCTTTATGCATAAGAATGATATCTTATGACAAAGTTTCGAAATTAACTTTGCAGTGAAGGGAATTATTTTTCTGATGCAGCAGCTCATAACTGGGGAGGTATTTTTGCGTATTTGTGACACTTATTAGTAAGTTTTCACAATTTTATTCAGAATTTATCCTCTTCCACCATGAAACATTAAAAACTCCGTCCTACGAAGTAAAACACAGACGCCTAAACTTTGCACCTGTATAGTTTTCCCGACAAAATGGACAAATACGGGTCTTCAGGTACGTTGTTCACCAAAAATAACATCAAAAATGAATTCTACGCGAAAAATTACAAAAGATGAGTGGTTCATAATCGATCAAATGACCAGGAATATTCGTTATCCTCGTAACATTGGAAGCGCAACGCTCCATGACCGACCTCTCCCATTGACTCGATCCACCGTGCGGCGCGGCGATCGACATGAAACGCGTATTAGCGCCTGCAAGATTGCACGAATACTTCACGCATTGCGTCAAACACAGTGCGGTCAGCAGCGGTGAGCGTGAAACGCCAAGCGCCTACAAGACTGCATGAATACTTCACGCATTGCGTCAAACACAGTGCGTTCAGCAGCGGTCGGCGCGGAGCGCATAGCGCCTACAAGATTGTAGGAATACTTCACGCATTGCGCCAAATATAGTGCAGTCAGCGCAGCGCGCGGCGGCGGAAGTTAAAATGATTAAACCACATATCGACGGTGAAACTACCAAACCACGTATCTCGTTTGCGGTGTTTAAAAATCTACGCTCACATTTTATTTTTTTGAAGTAGACCAAATCAATATCATTCCTTGAAATTTTCACGGAATTTTCTCCGCCCAAAGAGGAAAAATCACAGACATTTTCAAGACTGGATGTTATGTAGTTTTTCATTTAAAAAACAAAGTATGACAGGAAGTCTGCGACGTCGCAAACCGAGATACGTGGTTTGGTAGTTTTACCGTCGATATGTTTGTTCTTTCATAATTTTGTCGTTCATTTCTTATAAATGGAAGGCCTTGTCCACACAGAGATAGGTTCACGGAACTTAACTCTCGTTCAAAGTTCCGTGAACTTTTGATAGTGGTGTTGACAGGGCTTTCGCAAAAAATGTGTCCAACACGAGTAAGTACGCATCTTATGCTCCCCCTCCGGCACGTTCACTTGATGGTTTTTATTGATGTTTCAAAACGAGTGAGAAGGGGGCGGCAAAATACAGGCGGCCCATGAGCGGCAAGTAGGTGAATCCGGCCCTGCCATTGAATCCTCCATGAAGAGACCATAAAATACAACACTCTATTGGTAACAATATTAATTTAAGAGCTAAAATGTTTTTCGACGTGTAGTCCCTGGATGCAAAGGGGGGGGGGCAGTGCCTGGGGGTTGGACTTCTTGGATGCCAGCTGGAGCACCCCTGGAGGCTGGGCTTATTGGACTGCAGGTGGGGCACCCTCGTAGGGCTTGTTCCCTAAAAAACACGCATGGCATTGCTGAATTTCGTACCCTGTTGCCTGGACCAATGATTTGCCTTCAATTAGCCGGCTATGCAAAACGACTGTCGTTACGCACGAATAGTGGTATCAGAATTTCGCATTAAGATCACGCAGTAGGTTGAAGGCGCTCTTCTGCATCGTATCTGAGTGGCCATGTACAATGATGTTTACCATAAATGTTCAAAATTTTGGAGTCTTCTTGGAAAATTTGGGATTGAGGGGTTTGGAGGACAAAGGCACGTGCAGTTTTTGCTATTTCGAGAAATACGCCATTGAAGTTTTGAAATTACATGGATCCTCATGGCGGAAAGAAAGTTCAAACTGACTTTTTGATGCTGGAAAATTGGAATTTTGGAGCAAATTTATCACAGAATATGCTTTAAGACTGCTTTTACTTGAAATCATTAATAACTACATTGTAATTTTTTTCAAAAACTGCACTTGTGCGCCTTGTCCTCCAAGCCCCTCCGTAATCTCGAAAACACAGGAATACAAAATTAGAGACCCAGCACGAGTAAACTCGGCCTGTTGGATAGTATCCTGCCGT